TCCCACCCAGTTTTCCACAGAAAATGCTTTTTAAATAGTTAATATATGAAACAACATGCCGGACATAAAATTGCTTCTAAAAATACAGCCACTTGTTCCAATTATAAACTTCAATGCTGGTTTCCTTAACAAAGCCGCGCAAAACCAAACAGAACTATTTCCGTATTTAATTTCAAAAGCCGGTTTGAAATCATAGAGCCCTTACCGGCGCGAAACGTTATGTCATTGACAAAGTCGCAGAGGAAATGACACAAAAACATCCAATTAACTCTTGTGAAGTGCTCGTTAGGTACCATATAATAAGCTAAACTTGTGAGACTTCAAAGAATTCCAGAAAAAAAGGAGGAGAAAAAACTATAAAGTGGTACTGTGATAGTGTTCAAGAATAAATTAGAAAATTCGTAGAAACTAACTGAATATTTGGAAGCAGGTTGCTAATGACTGGGCCTAAATAGAATTTTCAGGGAGATTCAAAAATCTACTTCTTCTACTAAAGTGGCATTGTAGGTAAGAAATAGATTATGAATTCCATAATTACAAATGCTGGGGTGTTTGATGGTAGCAATATATAAAGGCAGCAGAAGACTGAATTTAACTCGTAAACTTGAGGTATCAGATTCAGTTATAGAAATGTTGTAAGGGCCAAAACATTGATGCATGAGCGACAAACAATTAAGAATACCGGCCTATTGTGTTTCCAAAACATTGCCTGGGTGTCGAATATATTTGAATTAAAAAAAGAACATCGTTAAAACATGCCCAGCCCGTTAATGCAAAACTAAGAAAAACAATGTTTTTAAAAACCTTTTCTCATAATAACAGAGCAGAGGAAGTTTTATCAGGTAATCGACCGGGTTACGCATTCTTCTTATGATAAGAAACTAGCTTAAAAGAAACTAGATAGGCAAAATTTGAAAAAACTTTAGTAGGTACTAGGCCCAATAAAAAATTAAGAAACTGTCCAACTTCCACTTTAAAAAAAGAGTCAATGAAGGAGTACCGAGTTCTATTTTGAGATGGCTCCAAGGACTTTACAACTCTTAATGAAGTTGACAGTGTGGAGATGATTTTACAATAGAACCCTTTAATTTACTTTTTTGTTTTTATAATGTTTATTTTTCTATGGAAGAGACAGCATACTTTGGATTTTGATCTTCACGGGTTTTTTTCGTGACGATCTGCGTTTTATCCTCCAAAAATGCTAAACTTGAAAAAAATAAGAAAATTTCAGGCACCAAAAATAAGAAACCAACTAAGAAACTTTAAGTACTAAACCGCCAAAATTTGGATGCCAAATTAAGAATATTCTAGTACTTGTTTCTGTTCCAAGTTTCTTATAAAAATATGTACTAAAAATGTCAGGCAAAACATTATTGAGCACATAAACTTGTTGTTGGAGATCAAGCATGATTGCTGACGATTAATGGTGACGATTTTACTACATCTAAGGGTGCGCGGCCCCCGCCCCCTCCTTTCGGCCAAAGCTTAAAGCAAAGCCCGATTTATAAGCAACAACAAAACAAAATCAATAATAAACAAAGACCGACCAGGAGTAACCATGAAACAGAAATCTGAATTTTGGATTCTTAGATTACTGTGAATATTTCAAATAGAAGATAAAATAAAAAACAATAAATGTTGAAAAAACTAAAAAGCAGTATAACATTCGCTATGTAATAAGGAGCTATAAATTATAATTTCACGTGCGAGAAATAAATGAATAGAAGGCTTATTGGCCTGTGGACCTTCAATTTGACATCGCTGCAAAGAATGGATCTCTTCAAAGTGCTCTCACTAACCTCAATTTTTACAGGTTGACAAAATATTTGAGCGATTTCTATTGTCAGACAAAACATGAGAATGTTATATAATTTGGTGTGCATTGACAATGAAATTTATTCATCTGTTAATTTGCCATTTCTAAACGTGGTATGACGTGTCGAAAAACCAAATCGAATAATTTTTAGGACACCATGACCCTATCAAACCCATTCGTTTTCTTTACTTAGAATAAAAAGTGAAATACTAACAAAGGTAAAAGAACAGTTACAATAAAACCTAAAATTGTATGAATAACAAAAATCTTTCTTTTATCCAAAGAAAAAGTGAATTGTCAGAGCTTAAAAAATAATAGGAATTATCTTTTGTACGGTTGAACTGCCATTAAATTTAGCACTTGGTTATTTAAATGCACGAAATAACCAACGACAAACAGGTTCTAAATGTGTATCAGATGAATTCAATGTTATCCGCCTTGAGAAACCCGATGGCAAAAAAATCATACTTTGGCTTGGAGTCACGCAAATAACTTAGGGGGTGAAATTCAAATGTAACTTTTGAAAAACACACCTTTTTCCTGTCACGATCAACTAAACTTGAACATCTGAACGATCACAGGAGAGTTCGTTATGGGATTTTACTGTTTGTTATCTTCAATCCCTTAAAGTACATTCGAAAAAACTAACGATACTGGAACAAATTGTGGAAAGGTTCGACTCAGTCATGCATTTTCTAGCCTTCGTTCTATATCTATTATCCAGCCTCTCTTATTTTGTGATATTTTCGAATAAGTTTCTGTTCAATTTGTAACTTTTCACCTGATGTGTACGCGCATAAAAATATTGTCAAAGGCAGGGGAATCAGCTCCCAGGTGGTGAGGCACAATTTTTTAAGTGTTAAAGAAGAACTTCAATTCAGGGCCTACAAAGAGTGAAAAAGGATAGTCTGGATTAAACTTGAACAGTCGGTCCAATATATTGTACAGCCAGGGGGGAATCCTTCCATCTTTTGCTTTTGTAGGCTTTCATAAAGATCCAGTTTTATAAAGTAGCAGAGAAAAAAAAATTTCATAAAACTTGCTTTAAGTTGCTTTCTGAAAAACGACGTGGATTTCGGAACAGCAAATATCTCGGAAAAGTTGGAAGAACACAGAAAACTAAACAAAACAAACGATCATTCATGCAGATACAGTTTGCTTGCCTAAAGTTAATATGACTTAAGTGCAAAAACAAGTCTCAGAGCTTTCTGTCTTGTGAAACACTTTTTATATAAAAGCATCTTGTGCTTATCTTTTGAACAATTCTTAATGCAGCAAAAGTGATTGGTAACACAGTTAACTAACATGTAGAATACATACCCCTTTTTAGGGCAAAACATGCTCATGACTTCTTAAGTTACTGGGAGTTCCGATTGCAGTTGCTTTTCTGTTTGGCTGTTTGTTTGTTTGTCTCCCTTTCGATAAAAAGCTTTATCTATGCCTGTTATCCAGGCGACAATGCTAGTAAAGGAAAAGCCTAAATCGAGTTTGTCACCATGGTTCACTTTGCCGGGAAACAACTTCCGTGCAATTTTGCGAACCCCGAGCAAATATAAATCCGTGATTTCAAACACGATTTTAAAGATGGGGTTAACGACAATCTGCATTCTGCCTGACAGGGCCTTTTGTCTTTGAATTTTTTTCTAAATATTTCAAGTTGTTGAAATGATCACGGAAACTGGGGCTATCCTTGGTTGGAAAGAATCAAAAAAACAAACTTCTGGCTTTTAGGCATATAGTAGTTTCAAAATGAGAATCAAGTTCTGGTTTCCAAGCATGTGCGAGTTTATTTTGAGTGTGTCAAAAATGCTTTATATGATATTTGGCAGAAAGGGGAAAAGCAGATCACACTATGTATCGGGGCAAGAAGGATTCGGCCCTTGCTGAGAATTAATTCTGATGTGGGATAAAAAGCCGTGGCTTCAGTTTTAACAGATGGTAAATCTTTGCATAAAGGACATTGGGCTCAGCTATTTCTTAAATATTCCGTGGCTTTAAAAATCACAGAACGCGGGATTTGCGCAGTTTTTCATAGGAGCAAAAATGTTCAGGAAAATAAACCAGTGGTTTACACGGCTTCATCGTTTCATACCGCAGAAAAGCAAAAAGTGCTTTGAAGGGGCTGGCAATGTCACAGAGTCCATCGTAACAGATTTGTGGAACAAATTTTAGGAAATCAATTTTGCCATGTGCAGCGCGAAGAACGATGATTTGTCGGCAGTTTCCCAGATCAGGACGTGGCCTAACAACTTTAAGGTAACTATAGAGTACTTTATTTGGTACAAACAAACAGGTATCATGTTTTATTGAAAATCAAAGGTTGCGTTGGCAAGCTTTTCGTGTTATTTTCAGTTTTGTTGCGGGAATTTGCAAAGCGCATTTGAACTCATTTAAAAGACAAATGCGCCTGTTGACCAGTTTACTTTCAAGCTGAAATGACCGGATATCAAAATTTAGTATGAAGACATTTGGCAAAATTCAACATCTTCAGTTTGTTCCGTTCATCGTTCCATTCCTTCAATATAACGGAACGGAACGGGTGAAAAACATTTTAAGAACTGATTACAAAAATTTTCTGAAAAATTCAAAGCCAAAGTAAGTTTTCAACACACTTCGCAAAAAATGCGTTTCTTTTGAGATAAATGTTGTCTACGTGATTAAGAATTACTCTACCAGCGTTTTTGAAACCTTGCAAATTGCAGGGGTTTCTGGAAGCACGAAGAAATGTGACATGCGAGAATCGGAAAAAGAACAGTAACATCTTCCCCTCACAATTACACATCACACTGATTCTTCAATTTCCAACATGATGACGTGGTAATTAAAAATTAGAACTTGTAAAACGTTTCTCTCTCGCTACATTGGATAACTTAGCCAGTCACCAGCCAAAAGAAAATTTAAGGGGGATATTTATAACCTATCCTTTTGGAACACGTGTTCTGGAATAGTTTCGTGAAACAGTTGCAAATCACTTGGTCCTTCATAAAGTCGAACTCAAATGGAAATTTAAGTTCTGTTTTCTCGTTTCAAAGCTGTGTTTGTGAACTTTTCCTTCCCTATTTACATACCAGGCGGCACGAGAAGTTAATTAAAATAAAAAATTCGAGGATCACATCACAACATGTTGTGACAAGACCTTTCCAGTATAAATCTCTTCGTCGTATACGTTCTTAATTCAACTTACCAATCATCACCATTAGGCAATTTCCTTTTCTCTTCGCCTGTGATATCAGAATCTTCAAGCTGAATAGTATCCTTAAGTTTGGAATTCCGTGAGTCCGAATCTGTAGAATTGGTGTGAGACCTTTTTGATAACACTCTAGCAACACCGGTCCAATTGGACACAACTGCACCTTTTCCTGGCCTTGTGGATTTGCCGTAAACTTCATTTAAGAAGCCATTTTCAACTCTCCTTTTAATGAGCCTTTTGTAACAACAATTATCTGTATCCTTTTCATCCCCGTTCAGCTGAAATCCCAAACTGATATCGGCCGATGCATTCTGAACTTCCATAGCAAATGTTTAGACTCAAGCCTGTAACCATATCGAACACATATAGGAACATGTAAAATTTCAATGAATCACATGAACAATCCTCTTAAATCTCTTGTTAAAGTGTGGCCTAATGATTGTAATATCTACTTTAAGTCGTTCATAAGTGTTTTATACAATATGCCGAGAATAACGGGCAAGAATGTCGACTGAGATCTCCCAGCCTTCCACCATACAAAGACGCCGTACTTCCCACAAAGACGATCGAACAAACACAACCTCCCGTGCGCATTTTGCTGTGGTTTCCATGCCCCATAATGGCGGCAGGTATTATGATTCGATTGTATCGTGACAAGCCGCAAGGGAGAGCTACACAAAACAGAAATAAAGGCACTAACAGGGGAACACCAAAGACAGATTGTCAACAAACCACGGGGGTTTATATCTTCACAACTGGTCATAAATCTAGTACCCTTTTTTAACGTTTCACCAAAGAACACCCGTTCGGAGACAAAGGGTGTTGAGGTATCCCCGTTTACAAAGTAAATAAGATTGAAATTATGACTTGTCTAAAAATATTTAATTCTGATGATTTCAATTACTCCTGGGTTAGAATGAATAACTGGACACTTTATACATCTCCTTTATGACGTTTTCAACATACTGGTCGAATTTACGTGACAATAGATCAATTTCCCTTGTGACCTAACGACAACCAAGTCATGCTGGATTCCTTATTAATCATTTCTATGGACATTACATCCGAAATTTTAACCCGTTCTAAACAATAGCTAATATTGATCATTCGTTGAAAATGCTGTGAAATAGAGGTTTTCGTATCAAACTGACAAAATTTCAGGAAATTAGTAGCACGCAAAAATGTTTTAATTTCTTTTGGCTGGGCTGAAGACAAACGTTGAATATATTGAGTGTCAAACAAACTGTAATGCTCATTATGTCGTCATAGCCAGAAGTGGCGACAAGGGGGTCATCCCTTATGATTTTTGGCAGAAATGGCCTTGTTTGTTTTTTCAAAACCATTCTCAAATTCTGTACCACGAAAAGAAGGTGAATTTAAGGTGTAATATACTTATACACATGTACTGCAGAAATGGAGAGAAGCTCAGGGACAGGTCCGTTGCTATGGGGCATGTGGGGCTTGACAACGCCTTGAAAAAGGAGTTCAATAATAAGGTTTCTGCCTTTTGGGGAAGGGGATGCTTAGTCAGCAAATAAAGAATTGCCAACCCACTTTGCTAGCAAATGAAAGCAAGAAACCCCTTTGAGCACTGAGCACAATAGCTAGCGACAGCCCTGCTCAGCGGACTTGGCCCCAAGGACCAATATATCGGCGGGGGGGGGGGGCTTGCTCCCCAAAATCTTAAATTGCATAAGTAAAATACTTTTACTTTGTAGATATGGCTGTTGTTGCACTTATTTATCAAGGTTCCCCCAAACAAAAAGCTGTATCTCGGTCTTTGGCCCCCAATTAGCTCCTAAAATGCAAATAACCATACATAGATATATATTGCCATTCAGCTGTAGCGTCCTGAGCTCTAAAAACCTTTCATTCCTCCAATCTGTAATCAGTTCCATGTTCCCTGGGTTTGAAATACCCCAAAATCTTTCAAGATGTGTCCAGTTGATTTCACAATTTCTTTGTCGGCAGATCTGTGTATTGCTCGTCGGCAGTTGTGCAATAAATGTAAATTTCTGTATGCTTATTTCTGATAAATGTACGCTGCTACCCCCAAACCCATCCCTTTTTCTCTGTTTTTGTCCGAAGGAGGGATGAACACTTTATCAGGACGTCGTTAAGGGGGCAATGGCCCAACCGCCATAAACAAAATGAATATTTTCCTAAAATCATTTGCTATTAGCCTTGAACTTGGATATGTCCTCTATTTCAAACGAAAGTGGGAGCCTTTGTTTGATCATCATATTTTGGTTTTCTTTTTTCCTAAATTTTTAGAAGAAAATTTAGCCATCCTCTTTTCTGACTTCATTGCAAATCTCTCAACAGCCCTCCGAGATCCTCCAAAGTTAAACAAAATAACCGAGCATGTGCTTGTTCAGCTTAGGGATAATCCAGCGTACAATGGCTGCAGTTCACCTGTTTTTTCTTCGTCAACAAACCAATCATGTTAATTTTAGTCAGTGAAAACCAATTTAAAAAGCTTCGAATAAAAGGCTTACTAGGGTGTCCATTCTTGCGAAATCTCATTGTTAGAATTTTGAGCTCAGAATCTGCTCACTTTCGGCTTTGTTGTCGCGATTAAATACATTAATTTTTGCTTGAGAAGTGACTTCAGGACACTACAGTGGAGTTTGTTTCAAGGTTTGAATAGCTGGGTCTTTACGAGAATTTTACACCTCCTTTACCATTTTAAAATGGCTCGAGATGCTTTGTAGACTCGAGACATTGTCAATTATTCATCCAACTTAAAAATTGTATTATACGCTCATTTCTCTATTTTTATAATAAATCAGTAAGTTGACAATGTATAGTCGTGGTATAGATGTATCGATGAAGAAAGTGGAGAAAATTTTTCCATTTGGCAACATCGCTTTGATTACACACACAACCCCCGGCTTGTTTGCTCGTTCCCAGATTCTTCAATATAGATAGTTCTTTACTCGCGAATGGCCGTCACGTTGTGAAAGGCGAGCGTTTATCGAGAAGCGCATTCTATTTTCGCCGCGTTCTAGGTCTCAAGTAAGCTGTTCAAACTGCTCTTAAATTTGTCTTCTTTTCATTTAATTTTATAAGTCTGCTAGAACTTTTTATCAGGCGCTGCATTGACGCTTTTTGGGTAAACCACTCCACGAGGAATGCATGTTGTATTTTGAACCTGGTGCGATCCCACGTTTAGCATGCTTTGTTTACATCTAGACCAGGGATTGTTACTTGTTTACTGTTATTTTTATTTTTGCATTGTGTTATTCACAATTATCAATATTTTAGCCGCCTCCATTAATGAAATTTTGTGAAATCGTCGTGTGGACGGTTGGATGTTTTTAGTTATTCAAATAAGTACTCTCAGTGAATTCTTTTTAAGATCTCAGATCTGTTTTTAATTAAAGAGAAAAATTGCATCTTTTTACTGCACTAAAGCTTCAGGAAACCCTAAGTTAACTTTCATGCAGGAATGTTGATTTTGATAAAAGAAAATAATGAACTTGGTAGCATTATCAGTCAAAATATAATGCCACATACGACACTTGAAATTTTCATTCACTTACAGAAATAATCAACAAATTTTTCAGTGATTAATCAATTGCTAATATTTTTGGCTAATATTAAGAGTGATGTGACTGGGCAAGGATGTAATGCTATCAAATTAAGATGCCCTTGCTAGAAAATTCTTTAAAAAAAAGTTTGCAAAAAGTAGAAAAGGGCTCCTATATTAACAGAGGGGCTCTGCCCTGTTGTACCCCTTGTATCTAGGGGCCCTTTTGTAGCATGCCTTTGAATGAGAAAATTGAGAAAATTGCAATCAATACTTCTTTCTTTGCTCTGGTAATATTTGCCCTACCCTTTCTAAAGCAAATAGATTGTCTCACTGTAGCAATCCTTTTCAAATACTTTCATATGCTAACAACGTTTCCATCCAAACCCTTTCTTTTAATAGTAACATGAAGCATTTTTCAAATTTGAAAAATTCATGTGCATTTGATAAGCTGATGTAAAATAAACATTTCATTCTGGGTAAATAATATGCAATTTGAAAGAAATAAATGGATTTGTGATTCTTAATGCTTAGAGGAAAGATATCAATATTTCTAAGGCCACCCCCTACAGAATTGGCCACCCCAATGGCAGATTCAAGGGGGGGGGGGGCAAGTAGGGACAGTTGCCCCTCCCTCAACGAGTTGAAGCAAGTCTGGTGCCCCTTTTTTGGAGATTGTGTGCCCCTTTTGAAGAATGAGAATCAGGTGAAATAGTTTCTGAGAACGACAGGTTAATTTTTTCAAAGATTACCTCAAAGTTATGTTCTTGTTTATCCCGAAAATGGATCAAAAATTGTTGTATACAGCAAACTCTTGTCACCAATTTTTGCAAATTTTTTAGCGCCCCCATTACCAACTGTCCCTCCTTCAAATTTGCTCTGGATCTGCCCCTGGGCCACCCTATAATGGTGCAAAAAGAAGCCCGGCTGTAGTTTCCTCTGTGAGACTTTGCATCTTTTGTAGAAGCTTCTCATACTTGTCGTACTTTATTATCCTACTATTTATTATTTATTTCTATTTTATTAGTAAGTTTGTGCTCTACTCTATTTTTAATATTTTTGCAATTAAGTTTCTTTATTAATAATGAATTTAAAGTTTTTAATCTCCAAATAAATGTAAAATACTTAAGCTAAAGGAGATTTTTCATGAAAAGTAAAAACACAAGTGGCTCAGAATTTTGGTATGAAGAATTATATTTTATAATTTTAAGTGAATTTCGAATACTTCAGAATATTGCAGGTTTTCTGAATTTTTTTTTATTTAGCTAACTATAAGATTATTCAAGCAGTAGATTTTCAGTTTACAACTTTGCTTTTTTACATTAAAGAAATAAAATGTTTTTCTTGTCTTTGTGCCAGTGCTGTGAACAATCAAGAGCCATGGCTGTTATACACAGGGCCTGCTAAAGCCAATCAGTTGCATTTGAATTTCCTCCAACTGCTGCTTTGAAATTTACATGTCTATCAAAAATGCAGCTTTACACAATATTGATGTGATATTCATTGCAGTAGCAAAGTGTTAGTTCGGGCTGTAACATGCTTCTCATAGATATGTGCCTGAATTAAGGGGTCTTGTGATCTTAATGGGATGGTAATTATTTTAATCAGTAATTGTTGCCCCTTTTTCCTTTTAGTTGAGCATTTGCTTTTCGAGTTTTCTCTTATATTTAAACTCAAAACAGAAAATTTAAGCTTATCTCTAAAATAATAACTTCATTTTATAAAAACATATGAAGTTCACCAATTTAAAAAAGGCTGTTTGTTTCATAGTTAATTCTGAATTAGCATGATTTTGATTGAGTTGAAGGGGTTACCTTCAGATATAGTCAACTGCAAATCAATTAATAGAAAATGGTTTTCAAAGTTATATGAAACTTTACTTATCAACCCCCCCCCCCCAGTGGAATTATGCAGGAACTATTGTTTTACAAGTTAAATACATGGGCAAAGCCAGTGTTTTCAAAAGGGGGCAGCCCTGTGATGGTTTGTGCAGTAAGATTTACCTGTATTAAGCTGTAGAAATTGATTATTCTAAGTCAGTAAAACAATAAGCAATCTCAATTCCTGTAGGGGGACTTGCGACTTTGCTGCCCCCTCTGGGTATGTCCCTGGTTCCAGCATATTTTCTAAAGTTTCTGGATGTTTTCAAAGCCATTTGGAAGCCTACTTGTAAAGATCATGACACTGCATGGTTTTAAGTGACATAAGTACCAAACCTAGCCCACAAGTACCCTCTTGGTGGCAACAATCTTATAGGTTGAATTTTACGTGATAAGCTGGCAATAGCACAGATCCTCCACATTTGGGTGCGTTTTGACACTGCCAATGTGGGGAATATGTATAAGCCATTAGGAATTTATTGTTATAATCAAAATGCATGGAACGGCTCTAGTTGCGTTTTGATTTCTCAATGGTTTTAATAAGCTACTTTCTGCATATTTGCCAGGGCCTGCAAAGCGAAAAATTGCTGCAGAGCATAAGAAGAGAGCAAACAAGCGACTGGGAAGTGGAAAACCCGCCGCAAGTTCGCCGCAGGACCGCGTAATAAAGACATAGCTTCGCAAGTATTGCGTGCGTTGCACCAGCAAGCAAAATTGAAGAGAGCTGTGCGCTTGAGCTGCTGCAGTTGCGCTACGCTGAAAGGTAAGCGTAAAATCAAGTAGAAGGTGTCACTTCGCCAAGCTTTGTCGCTTAATTTTGAGAGAGCGTATCTTGAGAAACATGGATGAAGCGATTGACGATGAAAAAAATGTTATGGGAGAGGAAGAAGATCCTAATATCTGCAGGGATTACCAAAGGGGTGTTTGCAATAGGGGTAACAAGTGTAAGTTTGTCCACCCAGCAAACATCAAGCCTCCGGACAGCGACAAACCCCCAGTCTGTCGCGATTTTCAAAATGGCACGTGCGATCGCAATAACTGCAAATATCTTCATATAACCAGTCAAGAGGAGCGGATATTTGTTGCTACTGGTAAGTTACCTGCCACCGTCGGTAGCACTCCAGTAGCCGCTCCCGCAGCCCCAAGAAGAGCCGCAGGTTTGGATGTATGCAAGGATTTCCTAAATAATGTATGTAGCCGAGGGAATCGATGTAAATTCCGTCATATAAGCGAATCAGATTGGGAAACTGAAAAACGCCGCATCGCTGTCATTGATGAGGAAATGAACAGAAAGAGAAAGCGAGATAGTTTCAGCGGCACTAGTCTGGACTACCAGTTTCTGAGCGACGAGAACGACATGCTGCGACGCAAAGTTGCTGACCTTCAGCGACAGGTTGCCGATTTGCGTGCGATGAACGACACGCTATATGAGCAGAATATGCGCTACAGATCACAGCTGAAAAGCGAGTTAGCAAGCAGTGACGCGCGTGTGGCGATTTCTTATCCGGGATACTCCCGTGGGCGCGAGGAGCCTGTGCGCTACATCCGGGATTCTTTAGAAACCCAGAGCACTGTTTTTCCCGAGAGAGTGACGTCAACTGGGCAGACTAGCTCTTATTCGCCGGCCAATTACGCCAAAGACCCTACATTTGACGGATATACAAGTTTCAGCCGATAAACAGTGATGAAAATACATTATTTGATTTCAAGGACCAAATACTGTCACATGTTTGCTTTTAACTCTGTAGGACATATTGCTTTTGTATTCAAGTAGTCTTTTTTGAGTTTATTACTGTTATAGCTGTTTCGAATGCGGAAACTAAAATGCTTTTCTTTTAAGAATTTTTTCAAGTTTGTTAAAAAAATTCAAAATTTTCGTCAGCCATCTGCTTTTATTCCTTCATTCAATGTTGATTCCTTTCTCTTCCATCAACTTCCTTTCAAAACAAGTATAGGTATGCAATTTTGAAAGAAGCAACCCTTTTTTATTGTAAATGTCTCCCTTGCCTCTCTGTGCTGTTCAAGTTCTTCTTTCGCTTACTCGGAAAACGCAATTCTGTGCTGGAAAAATTCCTGACGTTTTTTCCTGAATTCCTGAATAAAAGTTTCAACATTTATTCGCATAAAACACCAAAAGTTTACTATAGGACTAAACAAGGAGATCTCTGATACTGCCCTGCAAGGATGTAAGCCGAGAACATTTGTTTTGATTTATCTTTTACAAACTATGAATTAGTTATTTGATTTATAGTTTGCTATTCACAATAGCTAAAACAAAAGCCAATCAGGCCAACTATTTACAAAGCGTTTATATAATACAAAGAAATACATTAAATTAAAAAACCCTAACCATATAGTTCGTAGAGGCCATTGTCTATAGTTTTACATATCCTACAGTTGCAATGCTTCAGATATTTTTTTGGAAACTCCCAAAGAGACTGTTTAGAAAGTTTTTATTTTTGTTGGTAATTTTGCCCCTACTTTTTTGCCCATGAATGTTACGAGTGGACAAAAAGTTATGAGTTGGTGTAGTGTATTCTGTCTTTTCTTCAGACAATGTTGAAAAAATCCCAAAGAATACAGCATGTTAAGAGGGATAATCAGACAGAAATATCTCGTTTCATTATATATAAGAGTATATAGGCTTTCTAATTTAATCTTCGTAACAATCTGAATCGCTAAGGTTCTCCTGAAAGGCGAACTTTGGAAAAAATTGAAACATTTTTATTGGTGCGTGAGTGATTAGATATGTGTTAGAGTCTTGTGGCGGGCGGGAATCGGTCACCCCCTTAAATGGTCACCCTTCCCTGGTCATGCTGCTGGCCAAGCACAAATGTTTATTCAAACTGGCAATTCCACCCCGTACGTTTTACGGACCGTTTACGAGACCCGCATTTACTGTTATGGGTGACGTCAAAGATTTCATGTTCTTCGAATTGAGAGTACCAGAAATTTGAGAATGAATATTATGGGTCACCTAAACCTGTCATTGGGCGAATTGTCAATCAAAGACCGGTCCAGAGATGTAGTGCTAGCAAAAAACGAAAGGGCTCATGCCCAAAATGTTTCGAAAGTAATAGCAAAGTAGAAATTGGCTACTTTTCGGCATTAACAATTGGGGGGGGGGGGGTGATCACTACACCCTTGGTCTTGTCCAATTAAAATTACTGTTGGTCAGGGTGCTTTTGATGCCTCGTGTAAACCCAGAAAAGCCGCCAATGTACTTCATACGCTCATACCGTACTTCAAACCTTGTTACAAAACTACTGTCTCAAATTGCTAAAACGTTTGGCTGTTTATTTAAGGCTGTATTACATTCAAGCAACTTTTTATCCTCCATTCTGAAGTCCGACCCTCTTATGAAGCTTTTCAATCCCCTTAGGGTAATTCGCACAACCTAATCAAAAACTTAGCTTAACTCTACAAACAGTTCGTAGAATTGAAGATGTAATGGCTAGTATCGTGTAAGCTTTTTGACAGAACTTTTTATTGCAAAATTGATGATTCATTTGGTACTCATCTTAGGTCAAATCTGTGGTCAAATTAAAGCTCAATTTTGGTTTCAGAGCTATGTGAAAAATAGTGAGAGTTTAGGGAATCACGACAATGGCTGGATTCCTTTAGCTTCGAACGTTGAACAACCACATAAATCACAATATCATGTATGATTCAGGGACCGCGTACTACTCTAAAAGTGGAGGGGCTGAAATGGGTGTGACCGAAATTTTTTGAGGCCATGCCCTCTAGAACGTCGGAATACGCAACTTTTAGAAACTGCTTGCTTAATTCTATTGAATTTTTATAAAGAGTCTGGTTCAGAGAAGTATCAATAGCTATAAAAATTGATATAATTAGCTCGAGGGTAATAAAAAACCAAGTTAACCAAGTTAGAAAATACATCATATCATTAAACAAGATGAAACACCTAGGAAAAGAACAAAAATGGTTCCCAGTCCAGAAGGATTGCTACTTCATAGGAGTAAACTATCCAAAGTTGCGTTAGAGTAAACCTTCAAAAACATTTTCTAGCCTATTATTACAAAAAAGTGGGTGGGCTATAGCCAAATGGCTGCGCGGTGCGTGGTATGATTTTCACCAAAATTCCGACATCACGGAGTCTAGAAAACATTACGGTTCAGGGACGTCGGATCACATTTTGGAGGAGAGAGAGAGAGAGAGAGAGACAGAGAGAGAGAGAGGGGGGGGGGGGCTGTGGACAAGTTGGCAAAGATTCATGGTACTCTGCCAAAAGTTCATCCGGAGAAAGGTTGAAGCGATTTCAGAACCCTGCAATGTAGCAGTTGCACCAATATAAAAACTTCTCATAAACCGCTATTTCAATTTGAAGTTGTCAAATTATTAACTCTTCATCATTTTTAATTGAGAAAGCTCTCGAAGTGTCATTCCCTAATGGTTGATCAATGCTTGTGGTCATGGCTTGCAGATTGATGATGACGATTGGTGATGGTTGGTTCTGACGATGGTGATCAATCAATATGATGATCATGATGATTTATGGTGATTTCTGATCATGATCGCTTCTAATGGTTGATCAATGCTTGTGATCATAGCTTGCAGATTGATGATGACGTTTGGTGATGGTTGGTGCCGACAATGGTGATCAAACAGTATGGTTATGATCATGACGATTTATGGTGATTTCTGATCATGATCACTGGTCACGACGATGTTGACAATCAATGGTGATTGACCATGATGATATAACGACATGATAAGCGAAATTGCGAAATTACTTTCTTTTAGAATTGGGAACCACAATCACAAACCTATCTGTCAATTTGTTGAATCACATTTTGTTTTGCGAATTTAAAAAAAGATTGGGAGACAAAAGTAATGAACCAACAATTTGCACGATTTTTGCGTGGCAATCAATAAATTCAACAATTAACAGAAACATTATTTACGTTAGTAATAACAGACTTGACGTCAAAACTAACACGAAGAACTATCACGTGACAATTTGCCGTGGTTAAAGCACACTGATATTAACGACACTCTAATCACATCAAATTAATTGACTAAGGCACAAATATGTTAAAGAGTTATAAATTTCCACGTCATTCGTTTCAACGTGAACTTTGCTAAGCCTTTATTGAACCTCTAACACGATAATAATTCTATGGAATTAAGCAGTAGATCTCTAAAGTATAACACAGCATTAGACACGGGATGGGGGTTTGGGTAGAAAGGGAATCGAATAAAATGTACTTGACTTTCCAAAAAAACATAAATAAACAAAACTGAATGGTTGTCGAAAAATTTTACTACCCAGGTACTATAAAAATGTCTAGCCCACAAAACAGGTAGAAAAAAATAAAACGAGATTTTTGATATTTTTATATGCGGAAGTGCTTCCAGTTATAGGTTTCCTGTGTTTTATTATCATTTAGAGTTGTTAATGTTTGGTTTGGAGTTTATAAAAAAACAGTAAACGGACTTTAATTTTAATTTATTTATTGGACATAAAAAGAACCGTAACTAAACAAAATGTAAGAGCTCTCTCTGACTGTAAGGTAGAAATCACAATACAAGTTAAGGTTTTAAATACGTGAATAAATTTGTCTACGACGATCCCGAATGATAAATATCAACTGACGAGGCAATAAAGATAATAAAAAAAACAGAAAACTAACACTACTTTGAACAGAAAACATGCTTAAAAACATTGCAAGCTACGAAACAGAAACGTCAACTGGCCAATCAAATCCATGAACACATGACAGCACTTGAAAATCACGTGAAGAAAGACGATGTTGACGACAAACACACAATAGTCTACAAGGGAACGGACAGAATACAAGTTAGATCGAATCTATAAGGACAGGTGCATGCGGCGTTGCTAGAAATTGTCTACGCATTTTAAATACAATGTGGTGTAGCTATATGTCAAAAATATACTTTAATGACTGGCTGTCACTACTCTGCGGATTTATGTGGTAAACTATGATGATTGATGATGAATGCGAGACTGGAATTTCTAGGCACACCTATAAAATTTAATATTAATTGTGTACACTAGGGCCCAGGCTCATTTATAGTACAGTACTGGCGCTTGATTTTTTGAGAAAAAAGCACAATTGTTTTAATACGTGACCGTTCCTTTTATCGATTTCTTGCTTACTAAGGACGAACACAGCAACCATAGGTTTGGGTCACGAAAAAATGGGGGATGGGGGGAGAGGGTTAAACAGTTTAGGCTTAGGTTTATTGATTTTGCTCTCACTCTTACTCTTTGAATGCCTACATAAGATGGAAAATGGTTTCGAATGTCGTAAATCAATGCTCTAGGTGACCCCCCGTCTATTGAAATAAGACCCAGGTCGGTACGGTACTTCTATTTAGTTTTTTTGACTGATGCTCTTGCAGTTTCAATGCCTCTTTGGTAGACGAGTGTGTGCCATTAAAAGGAAGAGAAAGGAAGGAGAAGAGAAAAAACAAATGGAGTTAAGTAAGCAGAGAACTGTGAAAACAATTGGCTAGAATGAGTACAAGATTACAGAATACTATGAGGAATCGAGCAACATCACTGCAAAGGTGACAAAATTGTAGTTTGTACTGGTACGAACACTCTGGAACGTTACCGCATTGATGTTTAACTTAACAGCATAGATACTAGAGAAAGAAAAAGCTAGGGATTCGTAAGGTCCAAAACCGATGTGGAAAGTTGTGCCAAAGCATGAGATCGAGCTGGCATACGGTTCTATCAATTATCTTTCACTAGAGAAATAACATCAATTCCTCTCCTCACCCAACTGTTTACCACATAAATCGTTGGCTTGTTGGCAATAAATTCCTTTTACAAAGGCCATAATTAAATATCCTTGCATGTGTTTGCCTGGTTTAATCTGGCGTGGTACTTAAGTTATCAAATATAGGCTTACCCTCACAGGGTCCATAAATAGCGCGCGTTAAATCTTAAGAAAGTGTGGTGGTCTGCACACGAAGAGTTAAAGTGAACCCGCTTGAGTCAGCCAATACGACTGTCCTTTTAGCTCCAAAAGGTGTCATTCCAATTCCGTAAAAAAGAGTCATTTTAAGTAAATAAACATGACAAGGTAAAAAAATTGATGTTCAAAAATTTACTTGGAAGTTTTCTATTCCGACGTCGTTGGAAATTTGTATTTCCCATTTTACAATAGAAAAAATATTAAAGGCCCATTATGTATGTCGTAATAAGCGACAATTTTTAAAAAAAACCATATCGAAATTAAACATTCAAAGCTTTGGTATTAACAGTCAGATAACATCAAGTTTTAGCCCAGTAAACTGCCTGGGTTTGAAATTATCCCTCAGAGGATATAATAGGTTTAGCAAAAAATTATCGCCATTTAGAACACACCCGCGTAAACTGTTTTGTCGTAAAAATATCAGCGCAAGGCAAACTTGCAATTATAAGCTATATATAAACTTGATCTTATACATATTTAAGGGGAGAGATTGGCCTAGAGCTGTAACAAATATGATAAACTGATCCGTAACCCCGTAACAGTTACGAAGTGATCGAATTTTACTACATATTTGCGATAAAAACCCCGATATTACAATAGATCATAACGAAGTCCACGTACCTTAAATACAATAAACACCATTATTAATATGGACGATTGGCATCTTTAGGTCGTTTCAGTTGGACTTTGAGTCTTTTGTTTCCAATTTGGAATCCGTGCATTGCCTGAATAGCGTTTTGTGCAGAAGAGGCGTTGTCGTAACTTACAAAACCTGAAAGATAACGGTAAATTAGCGAAAGCTTGATAAAATGGCTCGTGATGAAAAGGCAAAAGACACTTCAGAATGGAGACACGCTACGGGGATTTTTTTACTAACAATCTATAAATAAAAAACAGCAAAATCGCAATCAGTATTTGCTTGTCTTGGTGAAAGGTAACTGAGAAAAACGGGGCCATATATTTTTTTATATTTCCAGAAGGGATTTTATTCGAGCCCCTTAATGCCGTTTGACCGCCTTACCTTCTTTTATAGAATAGAAAACCTCTTCTAGAGCTTTTTTTCACCAACAACCTCAAGTTGGTGTAAATTCCCCTTCTAGACACTTGCTATGGTGTAATCGACACCAATAATTTCCCAGAGGAAGTTGCGTTCCCCAATAGGCTTTCTCATCTTTGAAGATCCCAGTTTAGTATGTTCCCCTTTCATTATTTTGTCAAATGTCTCATTAGACTTTGCTACACACTTCCCTACAGACTGATGGTACTTGGGACAGTGGTGGAAATTGAGCTTTTTGGGTACAGAGGCAATCGTAGTGATTTTTCCGAGTTCCTTGTTTTTGTTGTCCCTTCTCTTCACTTTCCTGTGCCAAAATACTTGATTTTCCAGGTGAATTTTCAGAATCGTGTTAAATTGGTATAGTGGGAGGAGGCAGTTGCCTTCCAAAACCTCCTTTAATTACTCAAGATGCGTTAATCAAACCAAGAAAACGCCAAATTTACCCAACTGTGAATTTATAAATGACCTGTTACATGCAAAATTGACCATTAAACAACAAAAATTGTGCTGTTATTAAGGCAAAACCAATACTTACCAAAACATTTACTTAGATTAGTGTTTTTGTCAATGAAGACTTTGGCACTGAGGATGGCTCCAAAAGGAAGGAAAGTCTGGATGAGGTCAGCGTCACTGAATTCGGGTGGAAGGTGGTAAATGAACAAGTTGGATCCGTCGGGGCCTGGAAGTAGGCAGAAAAATAATTAATAAATAATTATAACCAATTTAACTGAAAAAAACTTGAATAATTTCAAAATTGCTGTTTTTGATGTTCGTTCCGTTTCAAGATTTCGGTACATGAATTCAAATATAAGCAACAAGTGATTACGTCACAAAAATTTCTTCACTGCATGCTTTCGTGGAGAGCACACAGTTTATGGATGTCCCTGCTTGGGAATATCATAGAAGACTGAAATTATTTGTTTTCATTTAAAAAATTAACTTTATTTTGGGGGATCTGTTTATCACTGACTGTATTTAATAGAGATTATTGTGATAAAATTTTGATAAAAATATCTCGCAACTGTACCAGTGTAGGTACCTTCTTTTTGAGGAGTCCTCTGGTTTTGTTGTTGGAACAAACTCAGGTAGGCATTTGGAAAGGCAGCTAAAATGAAGACCATCAATTATAATGAATAATTATCATCATCAAGTTATCATTATAACAATCATCGTTAATAATGTGTCTGGGATGTTATCGTTATCAACACTATCGCTCGTGAGCTGTGTCAGAAACTTTTCTCGTGTTTACCCTTTCTAAGCCTCCTTGCCAATGAACTCTGCCCCACAACTCATCGCTCTTTAACAAAGCTTGTAAACATTTGAAGACTTTACCCCTTCTTGCTTCCATGGCTATGACCTGTCGTCTTTCAAAACTTATATCAACAAATTTGATCCCACCCCTCTCTTATACCACCCTTCCCTTTTCTACTGTTAGGGTCTTGTTACAGGCTCCCGAACTTCTCCGTCACATAAACAACTAACAAACCGAATTCCTATTTCATGCTAATAAATTTACCACAGGGGACATGAATCTTCATAACAACCCTGTAGCCATTCACAATAATCTCAAAGTTTATTCTTAAAGTGGTGCTTTGGAGGGTAAATATGTGCCAGGCGAGAAACTCATGAAGGTTTTGCATGTTTATGTACTTTTTGGAACAAGTTTTGCTTACAAATATTTAGAGAACAAGATACACGAGAAGGTAACTTTGAAAGTCAAATCGTAACCGAATGAATTCCTTTCAAGGGGTAACCTTGACACATAAATACTGTTATGCTATAAAAAAGTACTTTATCTCAGTTCCAAACATCACATACCTGCATATTGTTGTATGCCTGAATAGGCAGCCTGCGATAAGGCATCAGCAGATGACTGGCTGTTAAACGTCGAGGCAAGATTCGCAGCTACGTCTGAATAAGTATATTTGGAAAGTTTGAAATGAACAAAGAAGTTAAAGTTATTTTTTAAAAACTAATTTCTGGATCAGGTTTATCTTATATACAAAAAAGATTGCTAAAAAATCCATCCACAAACATACAAAGTAGTTTTGACTATTTAGATATGTTTAGAATGGAATTAACACTGTACAAGCACAACAGGGCAGTATAAATGGTTGCTACGAACCAAGAAGGATATGTCCTGTGACTTCGTTTAAAAATTTTTTAACTAGCTTCACAATATTTTCAAAATCGCCGATTCTTTGCTTAGAATAACAAATTTCACGCTAGATGCTGTACAGCAGCTAAAGTGTACACGGTGATTCGATCCCTCGCTCAACACGCGTTAATTACGGGGATAGTATGTAGAATCCTTCGGGTTAACCGCGTTTATTATGGGAAATAACATATTTACAAGAAAAGAAATTACTTGCTAATCCAGCTCCTTGAAGGCCAGTTGTGTTCTGTAATCCAGCTGTTTGCAATCCGTTTCCTTGTACATTTGCAACGTTTGCCCCTTGCAATGCAGCGTTCTGTAACCCCGACATTTGAATTCCTGAAAAAACGCAAAAATAACTTTCGATATACAAGATTTCAACATAAATAGATCGAGCCAATTACATTTTGAAAATGTTACATGATGGATTAGAAATCGGCACTGATTTTAGTTGTAAGTTAGTTAGTCAACGTAACGCGCCATTTTGTTTTCGCACGTCCAGCCTCATTATGAGACAGGAGTTCATATATACACTATACACTATGCATTAGGTTCGGCACATGAGAAGTGCGATGTTTGATTTGAAGTCGTGCTAAACCACTAGATCGTTCGAGCCAACTGATCTGGGTCGAACCAAATCATGGTAATTTGGGATGTGCTTGATCAAATAAAACGTCGTCCCTTTGACATATGATATGTGGCACAGAAACAGATGAAAACTCGCAAAAGAATATCAAAATCAGAATAAAGGTAATTTTCCTACCATTCGTATTTTGAGTGCCACTAAGAGCAGCAAGATTTCCTAAACTACTGATTGCGGAAGACTGCGTTGCCAACGCCGATGACGTGATAGCTTGTTGCTGAGCCAATGACGCAACTGCCTGATTAGTGAATGATTGCTGACCAAGTCCAAGTTGATTTTGTGCTTGAGTTAACTGAGACTGGGCTTGTTGCTGTTGTTGTTGAACTTGCGTTTGCTGTTGCTGTTGTTGATTTGCGAGAGCAGCAGCAGCAACAATTGCTCCCATTGTTCCAGGCACGCCTAGCAGCGGCATTCCAAGAGAGGCAGCTAAAATCAAGTGCAGGGTTCATTGACTATTGGAACTATTCATCGAAAGGGTGAAAACCTGCTTAAGATTTTTCACTGCTTATAAAAAGGGATGTCGTGCTAAAATAATTTTTTAGAAGTTTAGATAAAATAAAACTTCTTATTTATTCTTCATATTTTGGAAGGGGCCTTATATGAGGGGGAAATTATTGTAGACATTAAGAAGAAATTACTAAAAGACCTCGTTTATTTTAGTAGGAATTTCTTTATGAGCATTTAATTCATTATTACCAAAAGAATGACTTTTTGTGGTAATTCAATAAAACGCCAAAGGCAACCTCAAATGGCAAAAATCATCAAACTGAAAGGTCCAATTCGAGATATTACGGAAGCAGTGGGGGCTTATTTGACGGAGGGGGGGGCTTATTAACAATTTGTAGGTCTAGGGTGAGGGCTTATTTAGGGGGGGCTTTTTCGAGGGGAGGGGGCAATTCGAGCATATGCGGTATTTCAAAAAATTTAGCAGTTTTCATTTCTTGAAGCGACTAGTTTTTAAGAGTCTTCGACTTAAACGAGAAAAGGCAAAGAACGAAATGTCCCCGGACAAAGATTGAAAGTGACACAAAAATGCAACATGATACATACTTGGGTTGACTAAACCAGCAGCCAATCCGGTTGGTAGTGTGCCTGCAGCGACTGCCTGTTGCAACAACTGTTGAGAAATAACGAACATGGTTTTACTGAGTCTTAAACAATATGGGAGCCAGTAATGGGGACTTAACAAGGCAAAATCCACCAACCTTCATTCAAGATGCTACTTGAAATCAAAATTAGTGCTCTTAAATCCTCAATATTAACGATAATGATACCGCCTACCCTCTGCTTAACCATACTTTAAAACGTTACGTAAAAATACGAGAAGTATAACAGAGGAAAAAGGTCGTGCATCCATGATTCTTCTCAAACATAGTCCCTAGACCCATCACTGACATGCTTTCGTTTGATGTGAACCTGACTTTTGAATTCTTTATGCCCTTACGTATACTACAATAGCCTTGGCAAAAATACAATTTTTAATGGCTTCAAAAACTTCTCAGAATTCTGAGATACAAACAGCTATCGAGGATAGGCAACCTGATGAGTTCTAACAATGAATGCAGAAAAACTCAGAGTTTGACCACGATATTCTAAAGCTCTTTGCTATTTGAGTCACGTATTTTGAAATTAGTAGCTCTTTTATTTGGTATCTATCTTTCATTTGGAAATATACATTTAAATTTAGGTTGGTCGTACGTGTTCTGTTATTCAGATGGGACCACAGAGCTGACGACTCACTAGCTTTTAATGCAGTTTCTGAGATCAAGGGTAACCATATTACAATTGAAGTCAAGCTTTTAATGACCATATTACAGGGTAACCATATTACAATTGAGGCATCTTTTGATAATGAAAAGGAACACATGGATGAAAGAAATCGCAAACTTTGACTAACTATGCTCTGTGGAAATTCTAAAAAACATTTCATCATAATTTTTACACTGAAAAATCGATAATCCCTTTCCTATATATACTTTTTTATATATTATTTGTAACTTTGGAATTTTTTCAGCAATTTACCATATTTCCTTGAGCCTTTTGCATTAAAAATATAGAAGAGCCTCAATTTCAGGCGTGTAAACTGTTATTCTTACACTACACAGCGGTGATTTCTAAACAGTGGGTATTTCTAAACAAGCTTTTCCAGTGGGTCTTTGTAAAAAAAAATTTCACTCTTTATAAACTATACTTTGAAAAACCCCGCATGGTAAAATAAACTTGAAAAGAAAAATTCACGTTACAAATGACAAACAAAACTGAAGACAAATTTTGTCGATAATACTTAAAAACAGAAATTATGCAAAGATGAGCAAATACAGCCACATTCAAAACATCAAATGTGGTCTACATAAGCTAATTATTATAATTTTGAGATATTGTTACAAGAGCCCATCCCTGTTTTCTCCAAATCACTATACGGATATGATATTCGTTCAGTTTTCTCACATAAAATGAGATTTTAGGAATAGAGATTTGCGGAGGGGGGAGGGGTGGGGGTTGTAGGGAACTTTTACGAAAATCGCCAAAAAGATCTCAAACAGAGATTGAAGAATTTTTCGTGGCTTCAGGTTTGAGACAGACTATAGAAGTTATATCTCACAAGCAGTTACAGCATTTTGCATTTTGGGTATCGTTTCTTGTACTTTTCTTTCTTGTATTTAATTAGGTTTCTCTAGCAATGTAGCCTAGAGCATGCATTATAATTTTTTTAGTTGAATGTTTAAGAAATGATTTTGCATTTTTGTTACAACACGCAAACCAATATCGATGTGCCTGCCGGTTGCTTTAATCTCTTATTTGGGTTGTTTTAGTAGGAAGAAGATATAAATAAAAAGAGTCGGATCGAAAGAAATTCATCTAGGACATGTTTGTAAGTCTGAAGGCTTCTTGATTGAAAAGTAAACATCCCATGATTTGATCTCCAAAGGGCAAAAAATTGCTTGTATTTTCAGAATTTCGAAATTTCAAAATTATGGAAGAAGGGAAGTCGGGAATTATCAGGCATAAAATAGCGCCTTCATATAAAAGAGAACTTGATAAATTTACAACGACACTGTAAGTGGGTAAAATACTCTGCCTTATACAGAAAAAGGCAAATGTGACAACTGGAGCAAATCACAACACAACAACAAACAAATACTACTCCATGGTGAACTCTACTAAAGCGAGGCACTAAGGCGTTTCACATGTTCACGAAAGGGCAAAGGTTTCTTTTTGATCATCAATCGAAATATGGACTTCTAAGCAACAGCTTCTATACACATTGGAGATGTTACGTCATAAATATCAAAGCTAGGCATTTTATGTTGTCTTCAGTTTATGCTGAAAGAATTCAAAGACACAATGATACACCTCCGTACCTCGCCAAACTTGAGTTTACCTCAGTGACACAACCAAAAACAAAAAATTGAAAAGCCCAGGAACCGTTTACATGAGGCCAGCTAAGTGAGAGGCCAGCTCAGTTAGAGGCCGGCCAAATATTTGACCACTAGAGCGTTATGTTGACAAAGGACTGGTTAAACTGACCAAAGACTAGGTAACCCAGGTGGCATACCACTCAGCCACCAAAGGAAGCACATGTCACTAATAGTTGGGACTGGTACGTGACCCCATTTAGATGTCTAATTTGGTGATCAGTTCAGTGCAGTTGCTAAATATTTGACAGGCCTTGTGTAAACGAGTCCATAGGCTTTTATGCGCAACACAACAATGGACTCATATCTTGCTTGGCCTAGTTTGTTTACATTTCCTGCAGCTGTGATTGGTTCTGTGGCGAGAGTGATCATGTGACCTAGCATATGATCTCAGCCAACCAAGAGTTTAGCCTTTTGCTTTTGCAGCATACAAAAAGTTTTGATATTAAATGTGTTACAATATGAAACAGTGAAATAGCGAACCTTATCTGTCTGCAATAATGGACTTTGCGACTAAAAGAAAACAAACACATAAAAATTTGAAAAAATTAAGACATAAAAGTAAAGTTTGGCTCTATGAATTACGTAAAAAGATAGAACAGGGTGTCGCACTGATTTTACAATAACAAAACCAACTGACAATAACTTTCAGGTGACAATAACACGTGGATTGACATAACTTTCAGGTACAATTCACACAGAATTTAATCAGTTGATTCGTAGTTTTTGGCCACCCTCTCGAAATCTAACCATTTGTAAACATTGATAATGTTACAAATCCACGATTACATAATTATTGATTGACAAAAAACCCCTCCCCCCTTTCTAAAACTTTGATCGACCGAGGGGGTGCAAAACGCCACTGACTTCTATTAAGTATCACATATTGTGTTTAAAATGAATTCTTAATACCGGATATACGTCTTTCTTGGCACAAAATACTATTATGTTATTTTCCCGCACTCTCTATTACACAATAAATCATTATTTGAATCCATTAATGTTAACTGAAACGTTAACTTTGAACTCAATTTCTTGTGTACAATTTGATATTTTTCCTACATACATTAAAATAGTAATTCGCATTTGGCTTACAGCAGTGGGGTGTCTTAATGGGTTAAGAAAGGTTAGCTCAAGGACTGCAGAAGCGGGGGGCTACGGGGGCTTAGCCCCTACAATCTGTGATACGCTGCGCGGTCTTTGTAGTGGCAGTCTTGATAAACAAGCTCTGTTTATTTAAAATATCAAAATACTTTTTCTCAATTACCTAATTTCGAGTCATTGAAACCGGTTCGACGATCAAGCAGAATATTATCCCCCAGCAAACAGATAATTGATGGATGCAATATAAAGGCTCCTAAAAATAAGGGACTTTTCCAAGATTCTGCTTAAAGAGAGGGGGGGGGTCAGAGGGTTGAATAAAGTAGGGGTCAATAGGATAAGGCATGTTCTAGAGTTCTACTGTGCTGAAAATAGATGCTAACAATAGTGACACAAATATTATCAAAAATATAAATTGATAATCAACTGGTACAGGGGAAGGTGAAAAAAACAAAATTATTGCATATTATTCTAGCATGGAAAAGAGCTTGTGCACTTGAAATTATGATCTAGAGAAAGCTTTTAGAAAACTGGTAGCTTTTAACCCAAATCCCAAAGCAGCTATCTATACTCACATGGTGTACCAAGGCAATCAGAGTTATTATCAATTTTGAAGTTGTTGAAGGTTGTTTCTAGAAGGCTTCCAACACAGAAAGAAATTTGGAATAACATTTGTGAGATGCCTCCTTTGCTAGGCCTTACATTCAAACATATTCAAAATTGTAAACAACAGACAGGTTCCGATGACAGATAGTGTTTTCTGTCTCTGCTAATGAGAGAATAAGTTAAAATGAAAACATTCTTGCAGCCTGAAGAAATTAATGTTTAAAATAGGTGCATATTTAAAAAACAAAATTAGCATACCTGTTGATAGGTATTTGAAGCTAGTCCCAGTCCTCCTAAACTGCCCTGTGCTAGTTGCATACTAAGCCCTAGGCCAAACATATTGCTTGCAAGCGACTGCATTCTTTTTTGAGCTTTGTCTTTTTCAGAATCTGCTATTTTAACTACAACTGGTGATGAACAACCCTGGTATAAAAAAGAAACAATTACTCACAAACACATCTAAGCAGAAACACTTCCTAAACTAAATGGCAATGTTTTGATTAAAGACACCTTGAATACAACTTACAGACACTGATAAATACAATATACAACAAATCAAACGATTGCAACATTTTCATTGAAATATCTGGGGAATGTTTTCATCAAAGTGTTTTTTGGAGGATTTACAATACTATTTTTATTCTATTAAAAGCCACTCTTGTTTCATAACCACAATCCATTATAAGCAACAGTAAATTGGGAATAAAAAAATGAAAGCTGCTCTCGATTAAAAGCCGTCAACAAAACCATACAGAGATGCTTTGTTTGAAATGGTAGGCACAGAATCTGATAAAGAATCTGATTGTGTACTTAAACCAGAAAGTAAACATTAGAAGCTCAACAAACAACATTAACATCCAGTAGCGAAGGATCGTCAAAAACGCCCAGAAGGATTCCTTTCTTATCTTCTACATCATCTACACCCTCAGCTTTAAAGTAGTAGGAAAGCTTGGCAGGATCTGGATAACATCATGTAAGCTGCTTTCCTTTATAAGCTGCCCTTGATCATAAACAGCAGCAAATTATGCCAAAAAATAATTTTAAGTCACAGCTTATAACGAAAAATAGGGTGTGGAAAATAAATTAATTACCATAGTTTCCTCAAGTGTTGCATATTTCAACTGTTGCTAATTCTTTTACTCACCTCCATTGTTGTGCTGTTGTGCATTTTGATGATTGCATTTTGTGCTTGAAGTCTTGTGTTAAACTTAAGGAAGGCACAGCCTGAAAATTGAAGAAAAACGAAAATATCTATATTGAAATTGACTATTACACAAGGTTTGCCTAAAACTTTAGATGCAAGGTCCATATTTGATCATATAACAGGCTAATAGCGAATTCCTGTTAAACTTATATAGTTACAAACTTCTCAGTATTGCAAACTATTCCAATAATATTATTTTACTTTTTAATGGTAAGAGAAACTTAATCAAATGTAATTTTTGTATTTTACAAATACCTGAAACTTAATTACTTCAGTCAATTGTGGTTGAAAAAAATGCTAATTGTCTCAAATCAACTACCTTTACTCGTTCCATTTGAATTTTTCAAAACTGTTACTTCTTCAATGGTTCCAAAAGGAGAAAACATTAACTTAAGGTCCTCTTCAGTGGTGTGTTTGCTAAGCATACCAATAAATAGTTTTCTGTCCTCTACAATGACAAAATATTTCAACATTTAGAAAAAGAATAGAATGACTGCAAAATTCTTCCAAATTCATGACAACACCAGAACAAGTAAAACTTTCAGCCTTTTCTAGATGAAACATCTGTATCCAAATTAAACAATGGTAAAACCTCCAAACATCAGACATGTATGGCAATGTTATCATCTGTAAGGTGGTAGTTTTTGCCATCTTCATTCTGGTTGTACAAGGTTTTAAAGAGGTTTTAATGAAATATGATATTAATTTTTCCATTATACTTAGTCTGTTATTTGGAGGTGTCCCTTATTGGGAGCTGTCAGGTAATTAAAATTTCACCACCAAATTATACCAAGGTAAAGTTGAATAACACTTTACCAAATTACTACATACAATATTCATTATCTTGTTTAACTTAGCTTATCAATAGCTTTGCAGACCATGCGCAAAATTAGGGCTAGGTTCAGAATAAAAAATCCAGGATATATATAGCATCTAATAAATTATATGTAATAATTTGAAAAAATAGCTGGTGATAATTTTACCTGATTTAATTGCACTGTCTGCAGGTTTGACCTGCATGGGATTTTGCATCTAAAATTAAATTAAAAACATGATCAAAGAAACTTTGAAAAAAATGTTTTACCAAATTTATTAGATCAAAATATATTTTTTCAAAAAGCATTTAGTTTTTTGAAAAAACCCACACATTTTGTCGCTCTCAAAAGCTATTGAGTGTCTTTTCAGAAAAGGCCAGAACAAGACAATGCACAGACCTGTTGTTCTGATTGTGCAGAGTATTACTGGGAGGGAGCCTTGCAATACTTGATACAAAGAGGACAACCCATTTGCCACATTTGGAACCAATTCGAAACGATACGCTTATTTCAAATTTAACAACTTTTTGCATAAATGGCACCAATCTATAAAAGCTCTTTCACTGATGAGTTAAATTCAATTAAAAACTAAACAAATAATCAAAAACAATGATACCCCTGGCAAAATTTTTCGTTCATGAAGACAATTTTGAGCTTCCAATGCTCCCTCTTTGCTTTGAAATGTTACAAATGCACACCCTGAAAGAAAAGTTCTTAATTCTATTAACAAGAAAACACAATAATAGAATTTTGAGGACAGGTAAAAACCACTGATTTGAATATGAAATTGTTATTATATTGGTCCCCATTTAATAATCAAATAAAGTTTCAAATTGTTTCAAATGATGTTGATTTAGTTGTGCAAATGTTGAGAAATTTTTATGAGAAGAAACTTGGTCTGACAAAAAAATGATTGACAGGTCTTAACAATATGAGTTCCTCAACTCAGATGATGTAGAATGGAGTCTTTGACATATCAGGTGACAAGGAAATCAGGTCTGGATGAATTCAACAGATCAGTTTGGCTTGAATACACAGCAACAAAAGAAATAGACAATGATCCAACCATTCATCTAGCGTAATCAAAAACCGGTCAGCAGCCATCTCCAGACATTTATCTGACATCCCTATTTAAAAAAACCATTAAATTTAGTGGATACACCAAGCAAGTACAATAACCCCATGAGCCTCCAAAAGCTAACAAGCACGGGTACAAAGGCAAAAAAATGTTTCCATTAACATTTGAGAAATCAAATAAACATTTTAAAGCACCCAGCATGATCATAAAACTCATATCTCAAATAAGATCTATCCTATTCTTTACATCAAAGTGTGCACAGCTTTGTCTTTGCAGCACCAAGCACTCCATGGCATAAACAAAATTTTCAGGTAGTTAACAGATTATAATTTAATTTTCTATCCTCTATCCCCTGTTTCATTTGTATCTCTTTCTAAGGTGTATTCACATTAATTAGCCTGTAGGGCTGATCACTTGACACCTTAGCATTGCTTTCTATTGTAGTATTGTCTTTCAAAGTAATGCATTGTCCCATCTCCATAGTAACAGTAATCAAAACACAACTGCAGTGTCCATTTGTATGTATTATCCAGTTAACATAAAAACCAGTGCTCTTTCACACCTACATAAAACTTTCAGGATCCTTACTTACAGATTGAACCTCTTCACTAAAACCAGAAGGAATAAGTGTGTCATATAGAAAACCACATTTTGCCAAAACATGTTTTGATCCCACTTGCATCATGCAGCTCAAAAATGAAACAACTCACAGCTATGCATAGTCAAAAACTTGCATGCTTTCAAGCCTATAACATAGCAATGCTGCCACACCATTTCTAACTGGGTTTGTGCTTCATATATTTTTCACAAAATTTATCCTGTACCCATCATTTTTCTGTGTTGAGAGTTTTTTTAATTTCCATGAGAGGCATAAAAAGTTTCTTTAGACTGGTCGATGCAAAAAGAATTCAGCCTTCAGACTAGTTGACACAAAACCTTTTTGTGATGTATAGGAATTCATGAGCATTATCACGTCCTTCTGTCCATGCATACATCAGCTCATATTAATTCGTATGACTTTTACAGAGTTATGGTCATGGATTCATAATATTTCATCAGTCATATCAAATTGTATTATACTATTGTTTATAAAAAACTTATTACAAAGAACCATCAACTTATGGCTCTACAATAAACTGCATCACATTTTAAATCATATTATGTTAGAGTATATCATTTTATATCATAGATTTAAACTAATTTTAACATCGATTACCAAAATATCTTTACTATTAAGATAGAATGAGATTCTGAAACAATTAATATAAATACAAATGGAATATGTACAATGTAATGTCGATATTTCCAGATCTCTAAATCAAATTTGGATATCAAATAACAAAATGTCGAAATTTTGAGATGTTAACTACCCGCTTGTTTTGAACGTTTAGTATGGCTACGTAGCGTTTCTCTCGCAAACAAAAAGAAACTTCCAGGATCTTGTTTGCTAGAAGAAATTTCTTCTACATCAGAAAAATCCCATATCGTTCGTTCTACGCAAAATCTAACAATTGCACTTTGGAGTGGAAACAACAATTTATATCTGGATGCCTTCGGTCAAATAAAACCAGAAATGTTCATCGCAGATTACCTGCTTACGCGTACAAAGACCGCCTGTAGCTTCTATCAAAACGATAAATTTTAGAATAATCTTCTCACCTTTATGTTGTCCTGTGTATTTATCGCGTAAGATTTGTATGTCGTGGACTTCCCCAAATTCTTCTAACAAGGGCCTGAGGTCCGTTTCTTCCCAAGTTCGGGGAACCTGTCCTATAAACATCTTTGGCGATAAATCTTCGAGTTTAGGCTCAGGATGCATGCCATTTTGAACGTGGAACGACATGATTGTATTACAATATCAGTGGACAAAACACAAGACACACGACAATTTTATACAAGCGACAAATGAACGTGCAACTCAATCCCACATTGACACTAAAACATGATGGTCTTCTACTCGCGCGAATTCTTACTACGCATGTACCTTACGTAAGGCGCCAACGCAGAAGATCCTCTAACTAAAACAATTTTCTATCTTCCGGATCGAAATTGGATAGGAAAAAGATTAAATTAATTGGAAAGAGAACCAAGAAATAATTCATTTGAAGCGACTTTTATAAAGAAACGAACAATGTAGAACTTGGTCTCATAGATTTCACTCCTCCATGAACAACATGCATACAATGATACCTGAGAAGGGGGTACAAGGGGAAATTAACGTCAAGTGTAAATTTTTATGAAGTTTCAGCCCGTCTTGAAAATCAGAAGATAGTATAGATCTGAAAAAACTATTTTAGGCATGGAGACTTGCAGTACGGGGGTAGTGGGGGTGACTACATCCCTGCCTTCAGTAGCCTGCGCGCAGTCTTTTGTTGCTGTTGCTGAACGTCTTTGTTGCTGTTGTTGTACGAGGAATGTACATTTCCCGTATGTCCAGCAAAAAGACTGCGCGCAGGCTATGCCTTCAGTCAATGTGGACAGCGGGGGCAGAAAGTGCCCTTGTAAAATAAAAAGAAACATATTGATATTTTTTGATGGGCTAGTTACAGGCTCCCTCGCCCTTTTCTTGTGCCAATGTATTCTTGGTCCTGTGAGTTCGAACAGAGCCCGACACTTTTACACTAGTTATGCTTAAGTCTTTTCCAAATCCCACCTATTACACTCTTTGCCTTGCTTGCTAGCAAGATAAGATGTTCTTTTGTGTTGCTTTTATGATATCTAGCAAAAGAGGGCCTATCACTTGAGCTACGCAATTGTCTACTGAGTCTTTTTGCGGCCAGGGCTCATCTACTGGAATGTTTTGAAGAGTTTTCAATTAAATGTGACATGTGTCTTTAGAAATAACATCTATTAACTGTTATGCTTTCAGAAGATATTTAACAGTGAGTTAGAGGATATGATTTTTCACAAATGGCTTCTAACTCAATGTTATTCATTTCAATTAAGGAGTCAAAAAGTAAAGAGATTATTATATTAGATTGATTTTGTCAATTATTTGAACAGTATTAAGAAGCTTTAAAATTGCATAAAAAGACAGTTTAATCGAACTCAAAATACTTTTCAGTAGGTTAAATGTATTTTTCTTTCCTAAGGAGTTGGAATGATCCAAATGATCCTACTGTAATTGGCAAACAAATATGATGTTGATTCTACTAAACCAACTTGAACGATCTACAGAAAGCATTTGAAATCCTGAACACCCTTGATAATTAACTCAAACATCCAATCTTAACCTATTCCTGCGTAGAAAATTTCTTCTTATAGAGTCATAGGCCGAGAATTCTTATATGTGTTGTATTAAAAACACATGTTCTCCTATTTCTCCTATTTTTAATATATTTGACTTTTCACTATGTTACTTGAATGAACAACATGAAATAAAAGTGAAAGTCAGCTAAACCTGTTAAAATTTTGTCGAGATAAGTCCAGTGAGAAGTTTAAAGTCTGCTAAAGGACTTCTGTCATTAGTTCTGTCATAACCAATGCACAGCCATGTTGTAAAGCCAGATTTTGTAAACCAACCAGTCCATGCTGTCGTGTTAAAAACAGTTATGTATAGGTATAAGAAAAAGCGTTTTATTAATTTCATACTTCTTTATTATTCTGAACAAAACTTCATAGATTATGCTGTTTATTCAAGCTTCCCAACTAACTTTACAAACAAATTAACTAAATTAGCATACATTAGGTGTATGAAATTACTTATTCTACGTATTAACGACATTATATTGCGTTAGTTCATCTTCCAAGTCACTTTCATATTCAACTTCAATGATGTCCTCAAGAACAGACGAACTTCTTGAGCTAAAGCCATTCGCTACAGGAAGAAACATTTTGTCTTTTGAAATTTCCGTGCTTTTTTGTGTTGACCCAAAGCTATCTGGGGTTTTAGGTGAAGATTCAAAATCGTATTCAAAGTCTTCGATAAATGGGCTGAGACACCCAGAGTCTGAAACCGATTGATTATCATCACTGCCTTCCCAGTGATCCTCGGGAGGATTAATCACAATTTCAAGAGTTAAATTGTTCGGATCTTTGCTTTCAGTCTCAGCTTGGCATCTATTTGTGTCATCTTTCTCAAGCTTTTCGGTTGCACTAACTACACACAACTCCTTCTCTAAAGAGGGTGACGGATTAGGAGGCAGTGGCACTTCTGCTTGGTTCATCTTAAGTGTCAAGCTTCTAATACCAATTTTCTCCTTTCCCTTTAATTTCACAGGTTTTGCGTCATATGCTCTTTGAATGTGAATTCTTTTTGCTGAAATTTCCAACCCAGCACCATTTCCACCAACAACCCAGTAGCTTTTTACTTCGCTCTTAACAGGTGTTTCTCTCTTCTTTTTGCCTCTGCACCCCCAACGATTAAAGGTAAGCACACTTGTTTCCTGATTCACATGATTTTTTTCCCGTAAATCATTATGTGATTCACGATGGTTTCTTTCAGTGTTTAAGCGTTGTATAGACTTTTCGCTTTTAGCGCTGCCAGTCTTTAACTCATTATTAAGACATGTTTCTCGTTTCTTCAGCAGCTTTTTCTCCTTATAGCTTCGGGAAGACAACACAGGAGGTGCTGATTGTGCCCCGTCTCGGGGGTGTATTTGTTTTCCAATGCATAAATTATAATTTTCAAATTCAGCAACAGAGGCATCTGCACTTTGTGATCGTGTCGTGCTTCCACCAAAACTTCTTCTCTCCTTCACAGCCCCTGGGTAGGAGCTCCATGCATAGTTACTGATAAGACTATGGTTGTTTGGCCTCGCTTTTCTTGCTGGCAACAACGGTCCTCTATTCGGCCTCCCTTTTTCATTATTTTTGGCTTCACGTCCTAAATTTTCAGAATATTGATCAATTATGCTTTTGTTCAACACCAAAGGATGGCAGTAATATAGCCTGCGCAATGCAACTTGCTCTTGCAAAAGTCTCTTTTTCTCTGCAACGCCAATCATATTCAATCAACTTAAATACAGCAACGAGCTTTACAAATCGATTCAAGCCTTCACTGATGTCTTCACCATATCTTTTCAATATACTTCAGGGTGTTTCCAAACTCGCAATTCTTACATGTTTGCTAATAACCGCTAGTATCAGCTAGTATCTTGTATCTGTCGCGATGCTGTGAAGAAAAAGTGCTCATGTTATTGTTGTCGAGACGATACATATAAACAGACATCGCAAGTCTAATGTGTTATAGAAAGATAATTTAAATGTTGTAGGTGAGAACAATAGCTCGTTTGTATAAGTATAAAATACATTTGAATGCAGTCACTTCAAAGGTGTTATACAAAAAGTCCTCTTTTATGAAAGATTCAGACAGAGGAATTATAATTTGTTTCATGGGACTGATGAAACTTTCATTAAACGTAAAAACTGCTTTCAAATGAGCGTCATCAATAATGCGATCTACAACAAGGAGATTTGATCTATTCAATGTATTCTCTGTACAATGAACCAGGCATTATTTGTCCAAGTCCTTTAAGAATATCCTTTCAGTTGAGATCAACCTGATGGATGCTTCTTGCGTTCCATAGGTTTGGTCTGACGTCATGTATGTATAGTTTCTTTCCTGTCCTAAACAATTACTTGTTTAGGTTTTTCAATAAGAAATAATTTGACAAGACCTCCAACAAAAAACCGCATGTGAAAAATATTTTTAATTTTGATGAAAATTTATAAGGATTCTAAGGTTATCAAGACAAATTACTTCAAAAATTATCTTGGCATTAAAAATTGCAGAGGAGCCACAACCGTCTGACTTTTTGACAACCACAGAAAATTAAATTTTTTGTTTTGCCCAACACCGCTGCACTTCTACAGACAAGCATCGATTGGGAGCTTTTGCTTCACTCTACCAAGGGTACCAGAGCCTCGATGAAAGAGTACCACGGTAAGTGGTGCAAGGCCGTAATATAAGAGGTCCATTTTGGACTTAAATCCGGCACTGAGAGTAAAGCTTATTATGCAGAATAAACGTAGTGAAACTGAAACGATAAAAATAGAACATTTAAGTCGACTTTAGTGACAGTATAGCATAACGAAGACGTCGTTTAGACTGATGACTTCTATCATAACATACCCCGTCCCCCAATATTTGAGCATGAGCCCCAACCAATAAGAAAATAAGAATACCGCCTCATGCTATGGCAAAATCATTCACTGTTCTGATAATGAATTTTACAAATAATATTTATAACATTACCTCTACTGACATTATGAATTGGCCAAACTAACCATAACAAACTGTTAGGCTAAATAGGGTTCTCTGCCCTCCTCTAACGGATATAAAAGTTTACAATGAAAAGAGACCATTTTCGCAAACAATAGTCACAAAAACCAGTATCTGTAGTTTGCTTGTCGTTTTCCAGGCAAAGACGCAAAGAGCCGGAAAGGCTGGCACAGAAAGATATCTATCAGACCATTAATTGATAAGAAGTTTTGCCTTGTATTTTGAAAGTGTGTTGCATATCAAGACCATTCAAGAAAATCAGCAATTTTTCATGTCGCATAAATCTAATGTTTCCAGCTTGCATTGCGATTTTTAGCATTTTCAGAATTCATCAACTAGAAAATAGCATTTCTAATAGTTTTTAGTTTATATATTCGAAATGTTTGTTTTAAAGCCTGGTTCCCACTTGGTCGTTTGGGTCGTTGGAGTCGTCAGAGTCGTTCCTGAAAGACATGAACGACCCAAAGAGCACATTGGTTTCCACTTGGTCGTTTGAGTCTTTCGAGTCGTTTGTTGTTGATGCTGTTCATTGCTTCCACCATGCATCGCTCATTTAATTTTGGCGGCATGCGTGGAAGGAACGATGGTAGCACTTGATAAACAACAACTGGTGTTGCCAAGTCAACTATTATGTTAGATTATTAAATTTCAGTGCAATAGCTTGCCATGATTTGATACTTTTGTATTTATTTTTAAACTCTTTCCAGTAATTGTTATAATGGCACTCGTATTTTTGAACTTCTTCCATAAAGCTTGCTGTGAAATATTAAGCTATCTTGTTCTTGTTCTAGTCAAACACGCGGTTACAAGAAAATCTCCTATTCTTGATAAAAAGGTTACTAAAGTGTGGGTCGTTTGAGTCGTTTGAGTCGTTTGTCGGTTTCCACTTGCAAAAATCATTCATGCGTGGGTATTTTGGGTCGCGAAGATATAATTTTTTCTATCTCTGCGACAACCGTCGTTTGAGACTTTCGGGTCTTTTGGGTTGTTGGCAGGTATGTTTCCGCTGAGTCTTTTCAATCTTTTGGATATTTTCCAACGACCCAAACGACCCAAACGACCAAGTGGGAACCAGGCTTAAACATTTCAAAATGAAGCCAAACATATATTTTTTAATCTAAGAAGCAAACCAGAAATTGCCCCTGAAATTCTGGTTGGCAATTGATGGTTGTCATTTCAGAACAATCTTATAATTCTAAGGTAAAGTGAAAAACTATTTGTGTGCTATTTTCTGCAAAAAATTTTTTTTTCATTAGAAACTTCGAAAAATCTCAGAGGAAACGGTCCTCTTCGGAAGCCTGGGAACTAGAGATTCCTAGAGGTAAGACGGCCATGTTATTTTGATAGCTACAAGCAGTTCCAGGAAAATACAAAACGTATTTTCCTTCGAAACAGTTCACAGAGATGCCATCTCAACGAAGATATAGTTCAGCTGATGGCTGTTGCATCTGCGGAGTAAATAACTCAACTGAACCGTTCGTAACTGTTGATAAAATTTCGCCCAACCAGAAATCAGTAACAGAGGTGTTATTGAAATGTTTTCAGTTGGAAAAGGAAAGGACAGGAGAAATCTGCGAAAGCTGCACTTCTATTGCCAAAAAGTGGCTTAAAACAAGTAAATCGAAACGAAATACAACCAATTTCAAGAAGGTATGCGTGACAGTTTGTTAACAAAAAGTATTTTGCAACAGATTTTTAAAATATTTTCGATAGTATGCAATATTCTGACTTGAGTGAACCCAGTCACAGTCACCCTGTTTGCCCTTTACGGTCGCCCTTGATGGAAGACGGAATTCTTTTCAGGTTTTGGAGTAGGAAGACTGCGACAATGATTTTCTATTGTAAAAAGAAAAGTAACAAAACCCCACCGTTCTCGACAAGATCTTGTGCATACAAGAGCAAATAAAAATGTGTGCATGTATACAAGAGTGCTGAAAAAGTGTTCAGTGGGTGCACACTATTCAGTTTGAGTCAAATGGGTGCACTGTGCAGCATGCTTCCAATGGGCAAATGCAGCCTAAGAAGGTTTTCACAATGTGTTAAAAGCAATTTATTTCTGCCAAAGCACTTTATGGCACTTCATAAAATGCTGACTCCAGATTATTGTTTAGCATGGGCTCAGTCATATGTTTTGATTATGTTGGACCCCATTGCCTTTGAATTTAGGGCTGATTCAATATTTCAGGCTGGACTTGTATGTATAATGTATGTATGTATGTATGTATAACTTGCACATACCTCCAATTTCCAGCAAGTTTAAATATACAAGATCACAGTCTCAAATCTCTTTACTGACCTCTCATAGAAATCTAGCTTTTTGCAAACAATAACCAAGAAAGTAAAGGCAGATCCAGAATATTGTGAGTAATACCTGAGCAAAAGTCAGATTATGTAGATTCCTGAAAACCTTTTTTTTATTTAGATTGTTCTATGCATTTTGTCACCAATGGGCAACTCCTCTCTTCACCAGCCCTTGTTAAGAAACTGACATAAAACTCAGGCTTGAGTTTCTAGAGAACTGGAATGAGCTAATCTATAGATTCTGTAACTTGATAATCAATGGTTTTAGCATGAGAATGGATAATTTCAAAAAATCAAATCAAAATATTGAGATATGAAATGATTCTAAGGTCATTCTATGGCAATCTGTGAAAGTGTGGTCCTTGAAAATTTTCTTAGGGGAGTGCCCACAGACCCCCTTTTTCCTCCTTAATGTACCTCACATATTTCTTAGATCCACCTCTGAATATAAATGGCTCACTTCCTACTACATTCCACCTGGAAAGTCTGCCGTCAATACCTTTGAATACCAGAGAGTCTCTAAAATCAGGAGGCAGAAAATTAAAGATTTTCATGAATCTGATTTCTTAGGTTGTTGACAGCAAAAGAAGGTTCAAACAAAGAACGACTAGACGATCAAGTCAATCTACTGATTATAATCAAGAAGGAAGCAGTAAACGTTCTAAGAATGATGAACCAATTCCAAAGGCAAAGCTGCCTAGCGAAGAAAAGTCAGAAACTGAAAGCATAAAAGGTTTCTTTACCTTATTTTTTCCATGATAATTTTTCACCCATTATGTAGAATTTGGTTCTTCAGCTGTGACAGGGAATATTTTTTATAAACCTAAAACAGTTGAAAGTTTTCTTATTCTCAGCAAAGTTTGTTCAAAGCATCTTGTTTTGTCATTAAATCAAAACCTTATTAGATTTAAAAAAAGCAAAATTATTTATGGTCTTTTTTAGTTTTACTTTCTAATATTTGTCACAGAGAATGTAGTTATCAGGATGATGAAAGATATGCAAACTATCTTCTGTCATCTTTAAAGGTAAAGCTTTGAAAAACCCACTCATTAAGTGTCCTTCTGTTAGTATCCTACAATCATTGCCAATAGTGCTTTGAGCACCCAGCAATTTGAGTGCCATTTTATATCTTTTATTTCTTTTCTGATATTACTACTTCTGCCCATTTCTCCCCAGGACATTGTTGATAGTTTAGGTAAATAGCATAAAAGAGAAGCAAAAGAGGTACTTCCTACTTCCCTGGCCTGTTTTATAGTGAGCCAACATTGTTCCATGGGGGTGAGGAGGATGGCTGAATTTGACAGATCAAGCTGGCATCAGTGTTCCAAAACTTTTGGCATACATTGTACATTCTTGTGGTCCAAGTATTTAACTAAGCATTTAGTCATTATTATTTGAATGCAAAATCACCCCTTGTTTTTAACTTAATTTTAAACTTCATAATAGCAGTTGGATCTCATTGATTTTTTAGAATACATACAGGCACCTACTGAAGATCAGTTATCAGAAGAGGAGCAGGAAGCTCTTCCTGATCAGATTGATAATAATGGAAGCCCACCATTGGCTTTTGATTCAAACTGTCTTAGCCCAGATATTCCCAATGAAGATAGAACTGAGATGGCTGAAAAGGAAACAGTGTCAGTTGGAACACAGACTGCATTTTTATTTCCTGCACTGACATCCCCACAGGCTAATGCAAATAGACTGCCATTTATTGATCTCTCAAAATGGAGGCAAGAAGAGATATGCTGTGGTACAATTTTCAGAGGGCCTAATGGTGAAGTGCTTGTAGACCCTAAATGGCTTAGGCCTTCCTGTGAGATGTGTAACAGAAGCTCACAGCCCCCAACTCCAGTTGAAAAAGGCAACTCTGAGGAAATATCAGTATTTGATGACAAACTTGCCAGTCTTTGTTCCTAAAGGTGAGCTGATTTGAGTATATAAGTAACTCACAGAAGAAAATTTTTCATATGAAAAAGAGAGGGGATGATCTTAACAATATAATTTTTGAAAAATCACAAATAAACTTGATTTATTAGGATTTCTTACCATTCTAAAGAGTAAGAATATGTCATTGGTTGCTAGCCACTAGGTTGAAGCTATGAATTGGGTTTGACCAATCAAGGGATAAGAGCAGCTATTTCACATTCTATTTTATTATCCAGCTCTCCTAAAGTTTATCCACTGTGAAGTGAAAGCAAAATACGATGAAATAAAAGTAGAATGCGCATAACAATAGTATTTGGCTTGTAAGAAGACAAGAATGTATTCTTTTTTAATTTGAGTCACATTTTCATTTCCATGGATGTCTAGTCTCTTTGGTGGGAATTGAAGAAAATATGGACCAAGTACTGAAGAAGATATAGCTTTATAACACCATACCACAAGAAACACCATTATTTGTTTGTTTGTTTTTACTGATCTACGCTGTAACTTCCATGTTTTATCTCAATCTCATTGCAAAAGTTAAATTGTTCTGAAGAACCTACACCAAAAAGGAGGGCTTTATTGTATTCTAATGGGCATCTCCAGCATCTGCATGACACTTTTTGCATGACTTTGAGCAAAGCAAGTGCATTCTCCTGATTGATACAAAGCAGCATGTAGTCCGAAGTGTTGTCACAAGGACTTCTAGGCTGGTAAGGCCTATCTATAACAACCGGAATTTTTTATCAAGTGCATATGGTCTTTTTTCCAAGTTTTCATGTTAACCATTGTTCAATGCTCAATCTATGTTGTTCATTTAAAACAGGAATATTATGCAAAGCTAAGACTATAGCCTTTTTATACTTGCTAGATGTCTGCATGTACCCTTTGCAATGGTTTTTAATTTTTCTGAACAGAACTATTGGAAATTCAAACTGGAAAATCTCTTGATGAACAATGCAAAGGGCAACATCAGAATAGAAGTTGGGCGCCACTATTGTGTATGGAAGACTTTCTGTTGACATTTTCAAAAGTTGTAAATTTTTAAAATAAAAAGTTGTAAAATAATATCAGTGTAATATTTGATTTAGTCCTGAATTTGATTTCGTCTTAGTTAGAAATTGTTTAAAATATTTTATACTCCTTGTTTAGTTTCAAGACTCTCGTCGTTTAGGCCATTAGTGTCAATTCAGACAAGATTGAAAGGTTATGCAGTTACAAGATTTCATCATGTAAGCCTCTTTTCAGCAAAATGCAATGCCAGGTACTAAAGTTTCATTTATTTTTTGAATAGTGTTGCTTGAAAACGAAGAAAATTAAGCAGTCAAAATGTTTGCCCCTAGATCAGATATTTGTAATACTTTTGCATATTATCCAGGTCCAGCTATCCATGTAGCCTTCTTGTTAACAATCTAGGCCCTTTTTTGTTTAAAGACAGAACAAAGATGCAGCCTTCAGTCCACTACCTTGACCTGCTTTAGTAGGAATACCGTTACTTTAATGAAATGTCCAATTCCTTATCTACTTTTTCGATTTTTTTTTAAATAACTAGATTGTCTAAAGATATAGAAACTATGAAGAGTATTGATTATTTTCTATTTGAATCTTTATCTGTCGATAGATATCAATTTAAAGTTTATTATATTCAATTACAAATTTAAAAGAGTTTAGTAATATTGCGAAAAAGTCAAAACAAGACGATTTCTTTTTGTATCGTTCGTATTGATAAAATTGGTGGCACAGCAGGCTTTATTGATGTAGATTTGTTAGTGAATAGATCTTTTCTGCGATCATTAACACCCAGAAAGGTCCATTAAAGCTTAGGCCATTTTCGGACCCTTAAACAAGGACATGCCCCTCCGAGTTTAATTACGTCTCGTTAAAGAAATCCTTGGTTATGCTTAGCATCTAGCTTTATTGGCAGTCCTGCGAATGAAAATCAGTGACAGGTTTCTTGAACAAAAAAATCCAAGTCATTCTTTTTATTATTTACCGGTGAGACGTTGGCAATATATGCCTATTGGTGTATGGATAGGAAGACTTTTCTTGTTCCCGTGTCACATCTTGGCCCCTTACTCTTGTCTGCCATCATTAAAAAGTAAGCGTGTCATCTTTGTTCTACTGTTTATGAACTAGTTTTATTTTACTGTTTTTGTTATAAATTTTGTTCGAATTATCGTGAAGTCGTAGTTTCTTACTCAGAAATTCGTGTCCAATTTTGATTAAGTATGTTCAATTTTTCCAAATTTCTACATTTGTACCTAAGCGGTTATCACTATCTACTTGTGTAAAGCGATTTAATTTCTTTTTTTGACTCTTGATTTGTTTGGGCAACAGAATTTACCGGGAACGATTACTTAATCATAAAGTGAGAGTTCCACACAACTCCTGCATAGGTGTCTCGACGTTTTCCCCTGACAGCTGCAGCGGGAAGGGGGGTGAGGGTTTGCAAGTCGGACCGCCGACAGATGGCGTACCCGGGGGCCAGGGCCCATTTTGAGGCCAGGACCCATTTTGGGGCCAGTAATAATGGAATTTATAATATATATTTATTTTAGAATCTTTATAATTTTTTCAAACCTTGTCGATTTGGAATATCTAAATTTATGTTGATTTATACAAGGATATACACAATAAAGGAAAAGCTCAAGTGCTGAGGGGTCTTTTAGATTCTTAGTTTTTCACCATATGAAATTGGCTTTGGTTGTTGAAACATGGAAGGTGTGAAGTTAATCTATATTTTCCGAATATTGTAACTTCGTTGCTTTGCTCTGCTGACTGACGACAGTGTGTCTGTCCAAGAAGCATCCTCCAAGCGGGTTTTGTTTAGTCTAAACCAATCAACATGCAAGTAGCTTAATCTAAACCACAGAGCAGCTGAATTTGTGTCAACGCATCATGAGCAGTTTTAACAGGCAAACATGCAGCCGCAACTTATAAAACACACTGCCTTAAAGTTATGATGATCTGCAAAATACCTTTCCACTGCGGTGAAAGTTTGCAAGGAAAACCTGTAGAAGATATTTTACATATTCAAACATTTTTAGAATGAAGTCGGGTCATTAATGAATAATTTGTATGCCTTATTTCAAGGCAAATATCCCTTGGCTTTTTCGTAACCACTTCCTCGAACTAAACTGTCACATGTGCATCGTTCAGTCACAGAATAGGCAGAAGGGTAACTCTCGTCGGTTCCTTTGTTGTTTTTGAAGCCTGAGTCAACAATAGAATTCCTCAATTCCCCTTTAACCTCGATTTCATTAGACGAACTTAGCCATGACAAATTATCATTCATTCATAAAATATAAACGAATTATAACACATAATTGAATTTGTTCACTTTCATGGGGCATTTCGTCTCAAATAAAGTTGTCTACTTTCATTCTTTTTTAAATTTCCCCAAATGATACATGCTAAGCCTCGTTTAAGTTAACGCATGCGCAAATTTTTTCAGGCTTCACCTGATAGGCAGCAGTGGATTACGCCATCTTTAATATCTTGATGTTAGATTCAGAAAATATTTGAAAAAGTTCGTAGCAAATCGTATCTGAATACCTTTACCTTAACGAGTCTGTATTTTTATAAATCTCTATCAATGGCCACCTTTTTCTTGTAATTTTAGATACGTCTATATATTTAAATGATTTTTTTACATTATCAATTAAAAATAAACTATATTTGATCCAATTTCACTCGTAGAGCATATTTTTGAACCCTATGTTTCTTAATATGTTGTTTGATCTTATGCCAGATACCTACTGCATAAACATTGCAAGCGAGGTCTGCAAAACAGCTCTGGCTCGATGTCTGTTTTATTCACCTCGAAGTTGCACGTTAGCGGAGTCGTGCTTTAGGCCAATATTTGCCATTTTCCACGCATTTAGCTGAACAAACCTCTGCCTGTTATTTCTCTATATAATCCATGCGCTTTTGCAGAGCAAATCCAATCTCACATTCATTGGATGTTATTTACAAAGATGATAGAAGAAGTCATTTTATCGCTCGCATTTACACGTTTTGTTTATCGATAAGGTTCGTTGCAATGAATTTTAGTTGTTTTGTATTCGTTTCAAGTATCCTTGTTATACTTTTGCATTTCACACCTGTCTATTGTGTTTAGCTTGGAAATTATCATATATAAGATTGCTTGTCTTGTTTTGTTTCATCTCTACTTGTTTTTCTTGCATATCACACCTGCAAATTGTGTTTAGTCTGGATGAGATAATATATCATATTGGTTTCTGATTACTGGGTGAAACAAGATGAGCAAAGTTCTTGTTGCTTGTTTCCTGCTATGGTTGCATTGCTGTGAAGGGACAAAGCAAAAACTGAAGAAGGGGCTTAAAGACAAATGCAAACCAAAGAAAATTCTTCAAAGAAAAGTCGAGAATGCTGATTGCTTTGAGAAGGATTTCAAGCTCCTATACTTAGAGGTATCATTCTTTATTACCAGTTTCAAAGGAAAAAACGAGGAAAGTGACAACATTTTTCGCATTAAATAAATTTTAGGGGGGGGGGGGTGGTCGGGAAGTGTCTTGATTTTTGCAAGTGACTTGATTTTGAGTTGTGGTTTGATAAAAAGTCGGGGAAAATTTACGATTGTAGTTTGATTATTCTTGGGACCTAAGGAGCTAGCTGCTTGGAATGTTTTGTTATATTTGTGAAATCAGGTTGGAACAGAAGCACACCAACCTGCCACGTTTCAAATTTTAATCCAAAAGTATAAACAACTAATTATAAAATTATTGATTCAAGTATACGATAAATATAGAAACCTCAAAATATGAATATTCCTGATAATGATACTGACACTTTGGAATTTTTTGCTATTCCCAGATCGTCATCGTCAAAAGGAACATCGACAAGGGCTCCATAGAAAAGACATCGTCCCTGTATCCCATAGACGTAAAGCACAGCCCAGATCTGCCCTGCAATATAGCTTGAAATGAGGGATCCTCGTCCCTAACCCACATTTTTCTAACGTTTTCCCTTTTTCTTTACAAGTTGCGTTAATTCCGTAAATTATTCGAACCAATCTTTCGACAGTGCCCTTTAGAATACCGTTAAGCTTGGGTATTTGATAATATTTGTAAAACAAGTGTGATAATATATTTTGCTTTGGGTGAACATAGCTCAGACTTGCACTTTCTAAGACACTAATATTCTGAATATCTGAGGTGCTGCACCCTTGTCATGGGCACCAACGCAGGTTGAAAAGTGGGGGCTAAGGAAGATTTTAACAATCATAACAGAAGAATTTTTAAAAAGTTCTATTTTTGCAAAAGAGTGGGGGAGGGCCATGGCCCCCCGAACCCCTTCGTCGGAGGCCCTGCTTGTTCTAGTTAACAAGAATTTTAAAATTAACACAGGGACTCCGATGGTGGTAGAGGAGGCAGAAGGGCCATTGTCCTCTCCTTTATTGCAAGCAATATAGCTTTTCTGCATAATCTCTTGTTATGGGTCTTTCATTTGCCCTCGTCCCCTATTCTCCATCTTGCGTCGTCGCCCTGTAACAACACCAGGGTATGCTTTCACAAAGTCATTAAGAAACTTATGCAAGATTGTTTTCTTCTAAAATAGCATAGCAACTGCTTTGCAGCCAAGGTAGTGTTTTAAGAACATCGTTCTGTTTTTCAGGCAAATGGACTTTTTTTGAAAGCGAACCCGAACCAAAAATCAGATGGCATCGTTGAACGGGCTTTGGGCGTCAGCAAACGTGAAAACCTAACAACAAACCAGTTGAAAGTACTGACTGACGTAATTCACTATCAAGTTAATCGAACACCCTTGCTTAAAAGCAGCAGTTCTGGACAGAAGCACAACTCAAGCAAAGCTCAGTATGTAGGTTGGGTTTAAATATTTCCGTATTATTTATGCTTTTTTTCTTTTAATAATTATTCCTTCTTGTTAAGAAGTTCGAGATCATTGATGCCACGTTTTATCAGTATAGCTTTAGACCATGATGCATTCTAAAATTTGAATGTTGCATTCTGAAAACAACGTTTTCCTTAGAACCACCCTGTTCAAAACACCGTTTGATATCTCTCATTCATGTTACCGAATTTCAGTTATATCTGCAAGTCTTTAATAGCAATCGTACTGTCCTAAATCTACAATCACGGACAAAAAAGTTGAGAATTTTCAAGAAAAGTTGATGTTTTCTCTTCTTACATGTTTTTAAAGCATAAATGATAAAACTACAAATCCAATATTGATTTGGAGGGAAATGGGGAATTTGAAGTAACAGGGGCAACGTAAAGTAAACAATTGTAAAAATATTTGCATTTTTTCTCGTTTATTTTGTCCAGGATTGTAGCTGTGAGACATTTTTGTTGTCAAATTCTAGAGTTCTAACTGGCTAATAAGCTATGGATTGGAGAATTTAAATCTCTTAGTCAATCAAAGATTTGGAAGCTATGCTTGTTTTAAATAGATTTTATTGTGCAGCACATTTTAAAATGCAGTTTAAAGAATAAGCCAACTTTAAGTATTTAACAAAAAGAGAATTTAAATTCTATTACGCTGGATGTTTTCAACCTGAATTTCTTTGAATTGGATGCTTAACTCTACATTAACATTGCAATAAAAAGTCTAGCTTTCAGACAAGTACTAGTTTCTACAAGCATTTAATGGTCTAGTTAATCTTAAAAACACATATTTTGTAACGGGTAATCACAAGATTTAAGAGCAAAGAATGTTTGAGAAACGGGTGATTTATAATACAATTTAAACGTAGTCTTCAATTTTGTTACGCCTAAAATGGTTATTGAATTTACTTCATGCTCCTTTGTTAGATCTGCTGAAAATTGGTTTTATACTATATCTATGAAAATTGCTACAGTTATTCGACATTTCAATTAGTAATCTTGAAACTATAACATATCAAACATGTTATATTGGTTTGTTGAGAAACGTATAACTGTGAGACTGACGAAATTGCCCGATGATCGCGTTAATCATAAAACTCTTAGTTGTTACTCAGATTAATTCTGTTTATGCACCAAATTATGTACAGCCCTGCCTTCACGGCATCGAGCACTTAATGACAAATCAGAAAACAGTAATTTTCATTATGTGCAGTTGAATAGTAACTTTTTCCAAACAAAAGTTATTTTCCTTTGTGTAAGCTGCTTTTCATTTCTCATCGAACATATACTGAATTTAATTTATTTTTGTGTCGTTAGGTTAGTGTAATTCCAGCAAACATAATTTCTGAAAACATAAACGGACATTCTGTTTAGGGTGTGATGCAAAGTGGAACCATTGTACCACACCTTGAAATCACGAGTTGATTTGATAGCTGAGTCCTTAGACAAGGGATATGCAGTTTTTGTCATGATTATCTTTAAGGAAAAGTCAGCTTCAAGAAATTATAGCTTATAATAAGATACCTTTCTTCATGAGTTCATTTTTAACATAATACTCTTTTCAATAACAATATATTGTAATTAGAATCACTTTGAAACATAAACCCAACCCCTTTTTGCAACCAAAGTGATGAGTGAAAATCAACCACATTTTGTCATTAACAACGAAAAATTCCTAACCTTGATAGGAATGCACAATCAGGGTATTGTTTTCCCCACCCCTTGCCCCCATGTTATCTTCAATCCGGCCCGAGCTGGAATTGATCAATGATTGAGCCCATTCTGATATGATGCTTCTAATCGAGGCCAATTTAGGCTTTTATTATATTCAAATGAAAGGTCTTATAATTTTTTGTAAGTTTCTTTTGACTATATGCACTATATGTAAGTTAATTGCAACAGGAAAAATTTGTCACTTGATAACGGGCTATGCTCGAAACGTCGCTATTTATTTTAAAAACATTTTCCTGGTACAATTTACTTACATTGATCGTTATCATAGCATTATATTATACCGCACGCAATCTAGTATATTTATGGAATCTTTTGTTTCTAGGATGTCGTCCATCTTGGAAGTGATATACTTCGCGAGCAAAACATCCCTATGCTGCAGAATTTGAGCGAGGTATGCAAATATTCTTCGTGTTTTTAACACAGAGACATAAGGGGTATTTAATCTTCATTAGCTAAATGGCACCAGTCAATTTTCAACGTAATCAAAGAAATCGTTGTGAATCATAGTAATCATGATTTAACAAATAACATGTAAAATGGAAAGTTGTAAATGTTCAAAGAGGATCTGATTGAATCAAAAGTAAAGGATTTTAATCTAAGGTAGCTAAACATGATGAAATATAAATAACCAGTGGTAATCTGATTGAATCAAAGGTAATAGATTTAGTCTTAAATAAGTAGATATAATCAATCTAACAGAACTAAGTAGTTGAAAGTAATCCACTGTGACTTAGTTGACATATGTAATAAATCAGAAGGGATCATTCTCAAGCAAAAAAGGTTTTAAAAAGATGAATAAAGTTCATAAGTACTCAAATACAATAATGGTTGATAAAATTCTAATTAAAAGTAATTATTAATAATATGAGTCAATTTGTAAAAATGAATGTAGGCTATCATACATAATAAAATGTAGTTTAAAGGAATCCAAATTTACCACAAAAATGAAAATAAATTATTAGTAATCATCTGTAATCTTCCATTTTTCCCATTATACTTTCACTAACAGACATAAGGAGGAGTGATTTGTACTTCCTCTTCGGATGACTAGGAACCTGTTTGGCGCCAATTCCTAAATAGTGCACCCGTTGAAAGGTGATAGGTAAGCTAATCTTAAGCGTCCATGTTTCAGACTGCTAGTTCTATTTATCAAGTTCCTTCTCTGTACACTTCATTTCATTTAATAACAGCCAGAGAAAGTTACCAAATCAAATCGTTCCTTGGTACAAGAACTTACAATTTCGCGTTGATTTAGTAAACTTGAAAACCTCCTAAAATATTTGGAATCTTTTTAATCACCTTGCTCTTTTGCTAAACTTTTGTCGCGTTACACGACCATATAGCAAGGGTCGATGATGCTTCATCAAATTCTGATATATAGAATGCTTTATTTCTTAAACATTTTCACACCGATCACATTATTGTTTATAATACTTCAAAGCTTTGAAATATATTATACCTTTGTTCTCTTATGTTGCAGAGTTGTTCTAGCATTTATCTCTTCTCAGTTAAAGTCCATCTGAAACACTGAATCAAGGCCTCAAACTCCTCGTCTTCTTGATTCGCTTAATGCATGTTTGTTTATGCCCAGTAGACAACTAGCTTTGCTTTTTATTCATGTGTTTTCAAACCACAAATTACTTATTCTGTGAATTTTCAAAATAGCCATAAAACGCAATCGGATCACGGAATCCCGCAATGACCACCTCCCGGTCCGAGTTTGTTTGTTTATTTTCGTAATAAAAAAAACGCCCAAATAGCAGTTATCTCTTTGAATGATTCTAAATAGGTCCGTTTTTGCGAAGCTATTTCAAAACCTGAGATAAGTACAAATTTTCGCCGTCAATGACGTTATTCATCTCAGATTTAGAAATAAAATTTTGCATTCAGAAATTATTTAGCCAGTTAATTGGACTACATCAGATTATTGCTCACAGTAACAGCCGGAAAATTTGTGGTCGTTTATGTGTCTGTGAAAATGCATCAAATCTGTTGAAATCTCTTGCTTTTTCCACCACAATCTGCATTGATAAAGTTCAAGTTCGAAATTAGCTGTCAAGGAAGCATAATGTGCGTCACTGTTTTAAAATTGTAGCTTAATCTATTTCAACTAAAAAAAATTTCGCGCTCTTACTAATTTAAAGATTTCCACATACCATTATATTTTGCTCTTATTGTTAATTAGTTTTAGTATTCAAATACTCCTCGAAATAGTTGGAATGTTTTGTAACAAGCGAAAAACACACTTCAATTAAATTTCCCCAGAGTGTGAATGAAACGATTGACAGTGACCAAAATGTGTAGAGAAGACAACAGTGATCTAACCAATGCGCCATTTTTCCTCTCATGCTGCTTAAAGCAGGAGCTAGATATAAAAACTTGATCATCAAGCTGCATTGTAGGCTCCGAGGACCACAAAGTGCCTTCTGTATACAACAAATATATATTACTTTTTCGCACCTCTTTCTGTACAGAAATCTTTTTTGACGAGGAAATACCCAAACATTTTTGTGATTTAAAGGTTTTCAAGTATATCCAAAAAGAACAAATGGGATTGCACGTGTTTACTTGCAAAATTAAAAAACAGTCTTTGAAGGAATCATATTAAAATTCCAAACCTTTATAAAACTTACAAGCATCCATGGTTGCTAAAATAGCTAAGTACAATGCTTGCCAAAAGTACTTGGAAAACCCAAGAAATTTCAGTCAATTCTCGATTTATGTTCAGTTTACGGCTATAGGAACAACTATGTTGCCTCCTTACGCACAAAACAGGTTCTAATTGCACCCTAGCTATTTTGGTTTTAAAATTGCAGGTTATTTCACATAGTGTATTTCTATGGAGAATATCCAGTATTTTGCAATGGAACATGGTAAACAGCTAAGTACCCTGGGTACTAGTGCTCCAGTGATAGAGTGGGCTGGTGCAAAAATGGGCCGATTTATTTGACACTGCTCGACCATCTCTTTCACTGAGGCTGTTGTACCAAGGGTAACAGCTGATGCGAGTGACAAAAATGCTGTTGGTGTTGAAAGACTTTTCGGGGGCATTTTATGTATCTCCTGGTTTTGAAAGACTCTTTTAACAACATCTGTATGAAATCACATTGTTTTATGAGCATTGCTTATTGCTTCAATCTTTGTTTTTCTCCCAATAAAAGCAAGAATCGCAAAACATATATGATACTGTTACATTTGCAGAACAATTTTGATTTTATTATTGTATATCGCTTTGCTAATGATACAATTCTTCCTGTCAATGCCACTACTCCTGATGATCTAAGAAGCGGAAGGCCATTGCTAAACATTAGTTCATAGTTTCAATAATTTTTATCTCCCTGATTTAACTTCTTTAATGTGTTTTTTTGTTGTAAAATCATACATCTTCTTGTTGGTTGTTAACTAGACTATTTAATTCACATTGGCAGTCTTTGTTTCTAGATTTATCCAATTGGGGAGAGACTGTTGCATGATTTTGAAGTGTTCTCAGATGCAAAAATGCGTGAATTGAAGAACGGCACTTATGTTTCATATGCTGAGAACATTGGTACGTATACAGACTAAGCCTTGACCAGTTTTTTATTTTAATTCATTGCTAAAGTTAACTTTTTCATTGAAAATTCATTATACACACCAGAATTTATTTCTAACGCCTGAATTGTATAAGTATGCGCTACATTTAGCATTTTCCGTTCAAAGTTTGGCCTAGGCCGTCAATCAAGGGGACCATTGGTATAAAAATTCTGTGCATATAGTCACGTGGTTTTACCAGCAGAAAAAGCTCTAAAGTAAAATGTGATATGATTTTTTGACCATGCAAGCCAAAAAGGTAATCCAGGTTTGCTTGGCTGTTTTTTCATACTTGCTTATAGCTTGAAGAAAACTTCATCAATTAAATACATCAGCTGATAAAAAAATGCATGTTTTATACTCTGAGGAGTGTCAGACGAAAAAGCTTTAAGTATGTTGTAAAATGTTTGCTTTTTACAAAGTAATTTTCAAATTTTGCACCGCCAAAAGATTGTTCTTAAATAAGTAATTCATTGTCCATGTACGGAATTAGTGAATAAATTGATTGGTAGAGTCGTTATTTTACTGCCTGTCTTTTATTTTGTGGAACAAACGCTCTCGTTATTCAAAAAATTCAGATCAGAATATAATCAAAGCAATTTTAAGTGTCGTTATAGCATAATAAGGTGACAACAGCGCTTTTGGAGGATACAACAGTGAAAGGAAATCCTCATCTTGTAGAGAGGAAGTTGTTTATATCATATAGACAAGTGGTTCCACTCTACCCCTGCTATCTCTCTTCTTCCTCTAACTTTTCATAGAATCACAGCCCACATTCAAATACCTCTTTATCACAGCTTTCCAGGCTACATCGTGCCATAAAGTATTTGGAGACAGGGATTACGCTTTTTTCGGAGATGATACCAGTGAAACAAGTGAAAACATTCAACGCGATGCAATACTTCTGCCAACCAGAAATTTACCAAGCAATGGTGGGTGACATCATCTCTGCATTTCAAGACATCATTCTATGCATAGACTACATTTTAGTTTTTTATTCATAGTATGTATCGCAAAGTTTTGGAACCATCTGCAACAATTTCCTTTTCAGTAATTTACCAAGCAATGGTGGATGACATCATCTCTGCATTTCAAGACATCATTCTATGCATAGACTACATTTTAATTTTTTATTCATAATACGTATCGACAATTTTTGGAGCCTCCGCAACAATGTTTTTTTTTCAGTTTTTTTGTAATTGTAATAATTTACTCAAAGTTCCGCAATCCCCAGTAAAAAAATCTATTATTAAAACATTTAATGGTCATACAAAGTCTTTCTCTTTAAAACCATTCTTAATATTAAAACAAAAAGGGACAATCATCTCTCCAGCCAACACGATTTTTCTTGGTTTTAAGACTGCTGGCTCCCTTTGATAAGGCCTAGTCTTACAGCTGAAGACTTAAAAAGCTATGATTCTTTGTCGTTGTACAATCGGTTCGTGTGATTGAATTTCTAGCTACCAATTACCAGAAATTCCGAGAGAAACTCAAGCACGTATTCTCTAATAAACATCTTTATTAACTGCGTTTGGGTCGAGATATTCAGGTCAAGAATTTTTTAATATATTATTTAGGGACATAAGATTTTAAATATTGTTTAGGGTACGACTTTTGGTGATGGATAGAAAGGGTGGTTTTTCATTTTCATAATCAAAACTTTAAAGTGTTTTGATATAGATCATAAATTTCACAATCATATTTATCTTAACTTTAAACTGAAATAAGTCCAACCACTTGAAGACCTGTATATACACTAAACTCAGAGAGAGAACTTTGGTTTCTGTTTTAAAATGTTGCACGAATTTTGCGTGAAGTTACTTTGCTTCTTTTACGATTTTTTAATGTTTCAGAATCAGCGTGTGCAGTGTCTTCTTTGTACTTCAAGAATTTGCAAACGCTTCTTCGCTCAGAGAATTCTACATTTTCTCAATCAAATGCCACAAACTTCACACAGTGAGACCTAAGTCATATTCTTTAACCTAAATATAAATGTTATAAAGGTTTTGCTGTCTTTTTCAAAATGAGTATTTTTATTCTGATTTTTTTCGAATTTACTCTGATATTTGCATTGCTTTTTTGTAATTACTGCTTAAATGCTTTTGTTTTAATATAAAAGAACCAATAAATACTCAAAACTTTTAAATTCTATCAAGCTACATAATTGCTTTTGCTCTACGTCAACCATAATTTAAAGGCTATCTTTATTTGTAGATTTGTCAATAGTCACATTATTTCCCTCGCTGTTCTTGGTTCATCAAGGAAAAATCTGACAAGCCCAGTCAAAATAAGACTCAAACACCTCGAAAAGGTGATGCTTCATCGTCAATTTTTGGATCGTTTTCTACTAGTTTTATAGCCTATACAAGTGGATTAATCTACTCTCCAACCAAACCTGTTGTGACATATTATAGGCCTGTCGTAACTTTAGTAGATTGGGCTTATTGAACATTAATGACCTTTTTATTTTTTCAAAAAAAACACCGAGAGGACCTTTTGGAGAGAACCTTAAAGGCTTCTGGGAAAATCTTGCAATTTCCAGGAAAAGACTTCCTCATCTTTTCATTTGGGAAGGACGGTGAAAATTCGCCACATTAATGAGCTGTTTATGATCAAACAATTTCAGTTGCATAATTAAGGGTCAGCTAATTGCAACTAAATCTCATTCTCATTTTCATAATGTAGTATATTTTCATGTATTTGATTTTAACTAGGAATCGCGAATTTTAATTTTGACTGAGTGATCAAGTAAGCACAGCTAATGGATACGGTGTCCCTTAGGAGTGATGTTAAAAAGTGGGAGTTATTCGAGCAACCCCAAAGACACAAAGCCATAGTGGTGGGAAACGATATGGGACAAACATGAAAACCCAGCAAATAGAGGCAAACCAGGTTTTATTTGGACAAGCTCAAAGAATCTGCGAAAAATTGTTTGGGCTGGAACAGTCCTAGACTTTAGGATCTGTCGTTTATTTTTAGCAACTGTTACTCACAGCTGTATATGGTATATAATATTAATCATAATAATAACGATTATGATAATAATGATTGTTTAGCAACATTGTAAGCTGGATTTCAGTGTTTGGTATGCATTTTCAAGTTCTCTTAAATTTATTTTATAACAGAACAAGAATCTTGAGATGAGAGGAGTATTCTGGAATTTCAAAAATGAGTAAGTTAGTTCTTCTCTATTCAAACATAGCTAAACAGGTTTAAGAACTTAACCGTGACCAGAGGAGCACGGGGCATTTAAAGTTTGAGTGGCACGGGTAGGAAGTTCAATTACGTCACAAGGGATGTGTTCCAAAAGAGGGCACTTTAAGAAAGGGTGTATTTCTCCAAAAGATAGGGGCAAGCCCTCTGGTACCCCTTCCGGTTACAACATCCCTCAAGTTATGATTATAAAATATCATCTTGCAAGTTTTACTTAATAGTTATGAAAAATTAGCTTCTTAAAATAAGGAAAAGTAGAGGTATAACATCAATGGTTTTCAGTCTGCTTTTGCATTATTAAAGTGATATTTCTATAAGACAACACATTTTTTGGAATTTGAAATGTGTGAATAGAGAAAGAAACCTTGAACTATAATAGATACATTACAAAGACTAATAAATTATGGTCGGACAAGACTAAACTTTCTTGGATCATATCTATATTCATGTATTATAGTTTTGAGTTTTAATCGTGGTGTAATCGAAATAAAGTTTTTCTCAGTTTCTTTCGGTAGTTTATTTTTTATAATTTTATTTGATCTTTATATTGAATAACTAGAAATTTTATGTGGAATACTTCAACGAAATTGTGATTTTTTACAGCAGTTATAATGGCTATTGGTCGGATGCTGGATGCCAAACTACCCACCAAACTGGCTATTCGACCACCTTCAAGTGCAACCACTTAACGAATTTTGCAATCCTTGTCACAGGAAAGCTCAAGGTAATTCTTCAGCTTTTATTTAGATCTTTCCCACGAGTTACTCGAAACACCCAAAAGCCTCAGATTTGCCTCTATCTGTGCATCTGTTTTTGCAATAATTCATTCTAATATAATTGAAACACTTTGCTAATTTACATTGCCTGCCAAAATTATTTCAACCACTCAGAATAAATTCAAAAAAAATATTTCAGCAATGTGTTTTAATATTTTTCATTTCTTTTCCAAAATACTACTGCTTTTGCTGCCCTGCTCCAAGAGCAATGTTGATAGATTTGGCAAATAATCTTCTGTGTCATTTTGCAGTAAAAGGGGGGGGGAAGGGGGAGGATGGCTGAATTTGACCATTCAAGCTGACGATAGTACACTAATCAATACATTTGGCAATGATTGTTCATCCAGTTTTTGTGCACGTATCCAAGAAATGAAGAAAATTTGATTTAACATAATTTCGCCTAAAGCTTGATAAAACTGCATTTGACATGTAATGAATGCGTTTTCGCGCCATTAACTATCGTTCCCAAGCCCCTTCACCTAGTAATTTTGTTTCGGAAGTTTTGGGCCTTCGTTGTATAAAAGTTCAATGTCCTGGAAGAGTTCCTGTTTAGTAACTTTAAAAATAGAGCTGTTATTCGTTTAACAAAGCAATGAGTCAGCAAACCAGAGCCTATTTGACTAATTAAAATCTTCAGCTTAGTATCTCCTGCCAAAGAGTTTTACCCTCATCATGACTCGAGTTATTTCCAAACCATGCCATGTTTGTTATTTCAGACCAAAAAAATATCCAGCGCAGAACATCTAGCTCTTTCAGTGACGTCATCTGTGGGCTGTTTTCTATCAATGATTGGTGAAGTTGTTACTCTTGCTATATACGCGGTTACAAAGTAAATTTTCCAACTGTTTTTTCTAAACCTTTTATATCTTCTTTGATATTTCACTGTAATTGGTTTTGTTATGAAAAGATGACAAAAAACGTTTAGAGCTTCTTTTCAAACATTTTACGAGCTTTACAGATAAATTAATAAATTGATTCTTTAAAAGTAACTTCAGCGAACGAAGCAATTTTTTGTCAAACCAGCTTTCATTATGTTATTTACATATATGCTCCATGGATCTAGCAATACATGCTTTCAAACATAAATTGTTTTTTCATAAGACATAAAAACTTAGGTATACTTCTGTAACACTACTATAATATTTCATTCAAAGATTTCAATAAATTTGACAAAGTACATCAAAATCATACCAAAATCTTATTTGCCTCCAATCATTCCTGAAGACGTATCCTGAAAACTTCACGAAAAAGCATTCTTTGCTTGCATTCTCCACTTCTTTTCAAGCTTTCGATTCTTGCGAAATGTTTCGCTTTTACGCAAACACAGTTTTTACTTGAAAGTGTGATTTTATCTCAATTTTTATTTATAAAATAAGCTAAACAATTATTGGTGTTTTGCAGGCTAACACCTCAAGTCTCTTTTTTGAGCGTGTTGATGCTAGTGGCCATCAACCGTCATTATTCATATAATCAGTATTGCGTTATCAGTATTACAAAACTACGCAAATTTATCGCAAAAATGAGTACAGAACTTTGAGAACCGACTTTCCGTCCCTAGATAACACAGTCGAAAGCTAAGTTTCTCCTGAATATTTCATTGAAATTTCTATATTAAAAGCCAGGACTTTGGGGTCACACTTCAATCGTTATGTAATGCTTGTGGTCTAAACTACAGAAATCGCTTTTGGGCTGTAAAAGTCATAAAGCACTTCAATTGGCATGATTTGCAGCATATCAATTCAGTTGGATGCGTCAATGATCGCATGAGATTGAATTTCAAGCTACGTCAAATTCATTTGTACTCAGTTGGGTGAACGTGCGTCATCGCCATCGTAGGCGTAGACTTGCATTTTTTTCAGGGGGGGGGGGCTAAAAAAATTAATGACAATTCCTAATAGCAGCTGCTATTATCACGTCAGCAAAGATCGCACGCTGCTTTCCTCTGATGCTGCCAGCCTCTCTGAAGGATTGGCCTTGAGTTGGATCTGACCTTATGTTCACAATAATTTCATACTTTATTTTGCTGTAAACGCAATTATCTAATGCAACAAATCTTATGCGTAAAACCAATAACTTAACAAACTAATCTAAAAATTGGTAAAGAACTTACTTATTTTCCAGGGGGGGCTCAGCCCCCCCCCTCGGTTTTTTGTCAGGAGGGGCTGAAGCCCCAGAGCCCCCCTAAGTTTATGCCTATGATCGCCATCATTTTCATTAGACTTTTTTCTCATTTCGACCCCATTTAAACTGTCCTGAGAAAAATACAGTATTATATACCACAACTGGGTATATATTTTTCATCGTGTTCTTTCAGACCCTTATTCTGACGTTTTATGCTCTGAGGAGTGTCAGACGAAAAAGCTTTTAGTATGTTGTAGAATGTTTGCTTTTTTCAAAGCCATTTTCAGACAGTATTTTGTAAGCCGGTGCATCAAATTTTCTTCCAAAACCACCACTTGCAATTTGAGAGGGAAGCAAGAAAAAGAGAAGAAGAGTGGTAATCATTTGGATCAACTGAGGCCTTCATGTCAACAACTATCTCTAGATTTGTAGGCTCTCCTGCATATCAAATCACTGTTTATTCTCTGCCAAATATCTAATTTTTATAAACCCTCGTGACTAACTAAGCAATTGCAAAATAACTGTTTACATTCGTTTTTATGAATTTAAGACAATCCCAAATCTTTCATGCAAAGATAACAATTCTCTGGATCCAGACTTTCCAATTAAAATGCAGCACTTTTTGCTATGCTTGGTTTAGTTGTATGTATAGCATCTGATTGAATCACTAATTGAATCACTGATTGTATCAATGATTTATTCCGATCTTTAATCATTTCCCGTAAGTGTTTTTTGTTTATATTTCTAGAGTCCAAAGCAAAAGACGATTCATTTTAATGAACACTGTACTGTGTCTTCTTTTGGCACAGGCAATCTTTCTTGCTGGCATTGAACAAGGAAAAAAGCAAAAGGCTAGTGAAATAGTTTTGTTACCCTTACTTCCAGTATACCAACAATGGAAGACAGTTTATGGGGTTGTGGGGGGAGCTACCATTCTACATGTAGAATTTCTAAAAATGTCGGTTAATGGGCTTTTTTCTAGACGTAATTTTCCATAATTTTTCAGGAACCCCTCTTCATTTTTCCACCGTTCTATTGCATTACTTGTTTCGACGTAACTGCATCCTATTTTCTTTTCAATAGAAAACAGAAAAAAAGTAGAAAATGTAAGAAACTATTATCGCTAAAACAGCCTTCTTCTGGCCTAAGGCCCTATTTGTAGCAAACATATTTCACAGTTATTTATTTTCACTTGACATAGCTATCTGCTCAAAGTCAAATTATTTAATGTGAAACATTTCGATAGTGAATCATATGAGCGTCTTCCTTCAATTCATTGCAATGGTGTTATCGATAGTGTTTTGAAATTGTCTCTTTTTTACCATAAATCTGTAAGAAAAATCATGATAATCAAAATTTATCCTGCTCTCTTTTTAGGTTCTTTGTGCAGTTATTGCTGCCTCTATCTCATATTTCTTTCTTGCCTCCTTCTTTTGGATGTTAAACATGGCTATACATCTCTACCTGGTAATCTCGTTTGTTTTCCCTACCAACTTTCGGTTTTGGTATTTCATGATTTCTGGTTACGGTAGGTTGTTGTAATCAGTATTTGTTATCTTTTTGACAGCATTGCTTAATTAGATGGCAGATTTCATTTAGTTTTCGTAACTCTACTAATTTAAGTTCTTTTCTTATATACTATGTTCAAATTATAATTAAGTATTTGCAGAATAGGTGTTTTTGAAGCAAAGGGGCAAAATTGAATAGGGGAATGGGGGGTTAGCGAGTTTGACACAGCATAACTGTAAGACAAGTGAAGGACGAAGTACTCTATGTTTTTGTATTCCTAGCCAAACTATGAAAGTCGGGAAGAATCAAAGAACGGGCGTAAAAGATTTGCTTGATTAAAAAAATATAAAGATGTCTTTTACCCTTTTCTTTGATTTTTTTACTTGATAGCCAGCTGCAAGCAATAGTCAAACCAGTAGCATTTTATGATTTATTTTCCATTAAGGTAAAAAAGAAGAAAAATGTAATGTAATATAGCAGATGGCGGTCAAAACAATCTAGAACCTAAATTGTTATCGTCAGGGTATAAAAATTTCCTTTCAGGGAAGGCTAACAAAACTTGAATTTTAAGAGCTGTTTTGAGGTGACTTAGAGAACTAATGTTTTGTGTGGCTAACATTTACGAATCAATAATATTTTGTTGTAAACAGTGTACCTATGTCCCTGATTGGAAAACTTGAGTTACCTGAACTTATCCTGTTTCAATGTGATTAAGATTCTCAAAAAAATTTTTTCAGTTTCTGCAATTTAATTTCGAGATACCAAAAATTAGAAGTCAAATTTATCAGCATCTTTATTGCAATCGCACTTATCAATGTTTATTTTTCATTAATACTCTACAACTTTTTTCGTAGTTCTTCCTTTATTCGAGGTTTTATTGGCGGCAGCTGTAACCCAAGGAAATGGTTTTGGAAACCCAGATTTGTAAGGCCAAAATTTTCATTGCATCGGTTCATACCTCATTAATTGCTTTCTATTTAAACTTTTTGCACCTCCAGTGACAATGTTCTGGCTTGCTTTCCCCTACATATGCATGATCTCCAAGAGACGAAACAAAGCTCTTCTACGATGAATCTGTTATCCAAAACTAACAACTCGGCTTTGATACCAATTATAAAATATTTTTCAGTTGCTGGTTTACGTTTGATAGTGGTGCAATTTGGATCTTTCTTGGCCCTGTATCTGTCATATTGATGGTAGGCCTTCTTGCTTTGTCTCTTTTTATATCCACCATACTTCGATATGATGTTTTAATATGATTTACATGCACTGTTGCTTTATGCATGGTCTTTCAGAGTTTATTTTAAGGAATTTTTTTAACTGCACATTTTCAAAACTTTTGAAAATTTTGGTGTCACCTTTTGAAAATTTTCATGGTGACACCCATCAAACTAACTAGATTATGATCACTGTTACTGTTATGTTTTCGTTTTTATGTAATGCTCTTTTATAAGCTTTATGTGTCTACTGCCAGATGCTTCAATTTTGCTTTTTCAATGGCAAATCTTTTAATTTTTGTTTTTTAATCGCACAAAATTTGACTTTATCACTGCACAATAACGATTAACCACTGCACAAATTGGTTATCACTGCACGTTAAAATAAATCCTGCGGTCTTTTGTCGAGCTTTTGTTGCATTCATATACAGTTGTGTTGCCTCTGGCCTCTCTTGTAGGTGAATATCGTTATTGCTATCTTGGTGTTGATAAAAATGCTGAAAATGAAGTGCCTTCAAAATAAGAGGACAATTGATAAAACAAAGTAAGAAACTTGAAGAATTAGGATTTCTATTCAAAGTTGGTGATTACTGTGAGAGTTGGATTTCATCTGGCCTGAACTCCAGTGGGTCATCTGTAAGTCATTTGGGTAAAAGGGATTGACGTTGGTGACTTTCCAAAAAGCACTAAACACTACGAACAGATAGATCATAAACAACGATTATTCTTGTTTCCAAATTTATGAACTTTACATTAATAAACTTGCAAATAGAGTACTTAACTTCTTGCAATAGGATCCCCCTTTAACACTTTTATGTCTTACGTGCCTTACGAACCATCTTAATTTACTCTACTTTTTTGTCATATACCAATTGTGCTTTACTCTATACCCTAATTTTACTTACCTACCCTCATTCAAAGTTTTCTAAATTGCGTGATAGAGAGGGGCTAATTGAGGTTGGGGGATGGACTTTGATTCTTCTACCCCCCTTAATGATTTAAGAATGTTATTTAATACTTTGCCATGAGTGTTTTCGGTTGTAAAATAACCTAACCTTTCCTTTTCTGTAATTACTCCCAAAATCAATTTTGTTCCAAGGACCCTGATACATCCTAGCATTCCTTTCCTCTCCTTTTTACTGTAATTTATTTTGTAGGCAGATCGTCAGGGCGATAATTGTTCTAACTCCATCACTGGGTCTCACTTGGATTTTTGGCCTATTCACAGTTGGAACGGAAAGTGTTGTGATGCAGTTTGTTTTTGCGATCCTAAATTCACTTCAGGTAAAGCAGTGCTACGGCCAAAACCTTTTGCCATCTTTATCTAAAACTAAAGTCTCGGCTAGCAGGATTCTGCTGCGTCAGAACCATTTATTGTACTTTAAAGACAACAGAACATTGTTATGATCCTATAAATGTAATAAGGAAATTTTATTGCAAAGGAGTTTTAGGCATGCAGCTATTTCATCTGTGGAAAAAATGGCTTTTCTTGATACTATGTTTTTGTTGCTAAATAAAGAATCTGAAGCATGTATCATCTTTAATTTACAGGGGATTTTTATCCTAGTGACCTGCTGTGTTCTCGACAAAAAGGTAATACAAATTATTTTGCCTGTAGAATAGACCCTCTTCATTGGTACAACTTCCCAACCTTTCTTCATTTAGTCACTTTTTGTAATGTATTCTTGATTTTGCTCAAACTTTTCGTGCCAAAAGCTCAAAAATAGCACGAAGAGTGAGAACCAACCTCCACATACAGTTGGTGTATCAGCAACAATTATTGATGAACAAACATTCTTATTTTCATTCTACATGTTTCATTCTAAAATGTAGATTGAAATCAAACTATTTTGCATTTTAAAGGTATTTTCTGCTATTCATTTCATTTTGAGAGCACATTGGAATTACAGAAGCTGCGTATTTGTGCATTCTGTCTTGATAGTGTAAAAACTGTTTTTTTAGGTTAGAGAGGAGTTGCTTGGGATTCTACGTCATCCAAAAAGACTTTCTTATAGAGGTGAGGTGGATTAATACCTTTGAAAGAAATGTTTTTCCATAAACTTTAGATGATAATAGGTTGATGATGGATATAAGGGTCACGGTACCATTCTCAAACTGCTCATATGTATATAACTTAAAATCAAGGTCTAAGCTTATACACATTCGTTGATATCTACACAAAAAGAGCAAGGGAAGAGTACCATACAACCGTAATATTTTCCATTTTATCCTGTAATATTTCTATTGTTGCTCTTGTTGCATACATAAAAGCTCACCACCCCCCGGGAGGAATCTCAGCCCAACCCCTTTAAAGCTTCAACGGGATCTATCCATGCTTTGTTTGACCTTTGGTGAATCTGAGGTCATCTCAAGTAATAACCAAACACTCTTACATATGTCATCACCTATAAACTTTAATAGCAATGTGACCTAATCTAAATGGGCCTAGCCAAGGAGACATTTTGTGGCATATTAATGAATCATTTATTTTTTCCTTATACATATTGATAAGGTCTTTGAAATGAACGTTGGTGAAAATGGTACCAGATAATTGCACTTTAACAAGCATTTTTTGTGCATCTTATTCATATTTAACCTCCAAAATTATCGTCTAATTTCTTGACAGTTCGGTTTCAGCTTCATTGAGGCAAATATCTCCATTACCATTGGCCGAGTAAAGTATACACTGCAGTGCATAGTATCTTACAACATTAAAAAAAAAGTCAAAGAAGCAGAAGAATCAAGAATATCTACTGGTGGAAGCCTTTGTTTATCTGTTAATAAACAAACAATAAAAAGTTACTAAAACAGTTGCAAAGTACTTTTAGTGGATCATAGCCTGTTTGCTTCCGAGTCCTTGCTCTTAATTGCTTCAAGCCTTAAGCCTTAATAAGGTGAATAGAATATTCTATACACCTTATCGTTCCCTTTAAGCTACGACAGTTGATCCTCAAGATAAAATAGTCGTAGACGATGTTGTGAGATGCAAAAAGCTGCAAACGATGCTTGTTATGATAAAATAACTGCAGTCAATTTTCTTCTGTTTAGAACATTCATCTATTTATTATATTTTTCCTGGAAATTATGAGAAGAAGGCAACTCCAAAAAACAGGCAGGAATGATTCATAATATCTTTCAAATTAAATTTTGTTGACAAAACCTTATTTTTGTTGCTGTCAACTTTTAATTTCGTATTGCATCGACTTTGAACTTTACTCGTCACAAAAATTTCAAATTGCCTCTACCCATACAGTAAATAGAAAAGAAATTATAAACTTTGCGAAAAATTGTTATCTATTGAATAATACAAGAATAACTGATAAAACTAATAGAATTGTGATTTTTACTTAATAATTAATATTTAAGCTGTAAATCGAGAGCTCGTTAGTTTTTGTAGAAATAATGGGTCTTTGAAGAATGTTAATTTTGCTTACAATGACGTCGAATATAGAAATGGCTTTGAAAAAAAATATTTTGCAACATACTGAAGTTTTTTGTCAGTCACTCTTCAGAGTTTAAAACGTCAAAATAAGGACCGAAAGTATAAAAAAAAAATATACAAGTCCAGTTTTGGAATTTTTGATTAGCTTAGCTTATTTTTATCCACAACTGGATATACATTTTCTTTCTTGAATTTTTCGGTCCTTATTCTGACATTTTTTAATCTGAAGAGTGTCAGACGATAAAAAGCTTTAGTATTTTTAGAATTCGAATTAAAATTATCAATACTTGTATGAATATTTATTGTCAGTAGTATTAGTGGTTAATAACGTTGCATTGATATACATGCATGATATTGTGTATAAATACTGAGTTATTTATGATCCAACTCTTTAGTATTTTCTATCAAAATTGAAAAGGGAACACAACTTATGTAAAGGTACAATAGCAAAAGTAAGAAACAAAACAAGTTAAGTATTAACAATATAAACGTTGAAATCTCAAGATGATGTCCCTGCTTACAATTACTAACGGTAAGAAATAGCTATACTCTTTTATATAAGAACAGACTTTATGTGTAAGAACTCGAAGATTTGATTTCCCGGAAAGTCAAGAAAAGATGAAAAAATCTTCAGATGAAAATTTAGCAAAAAAAGGAAGGGTGATTTTAAAATTTTCTCTGATCCTAATAAAGCAGATCAGATTTTATTAGCTGAATAGCCGTGCTTCTCAAAATGTCATTCAAAAATTTTTTGTGGTGTTAGAAAGAATTTATAGTGAGAAAATGTAGGGAAGTAAATGTTAAATTATAAACTCCCGAGCCTTAATTTATTCACAATTTGAGAACACTGAACCTCAGCAAAAATCGTCTGGTTCTTATAGTGCATAAAAGGAGTGTATAAAAATGGTTTCTAAATGATGAAGAGAAAAATGCAAGCAATCTGCCATTGATGTTATTTTCTATTATTGTCCAGAGATTTCGATTAAAAAATTCAAAGGGACAAGAAAAAACTTTTCAACAGAATTAGAAATAGCAGTGCTTGTTGAGGGTGAAGTTAAAATTAGGGCCGGTGGGTTGGTGCTTTGAAAAAAATTTGGGAGTATCGCCTTGGAAGAAGGGGGGCGGAAGGGGTGAAATAAAATTGCATGTTCAAAACAGTCGGTTTCCTTTCGGCTTCTTGGTCATCATTATCCATCACGTTTTATTCTCCTAGGATTTATAAAGTTTGAAGCTCCGCGCGTTTTTTCCAGCTCTACGATTCCCTGTAATGTCTAGGGACCCTGGGCGCACGAAGCTACGCCTAATTCCCCATAGAGTTGAGCAAGCAAGAAGTTAACCATACAACAATGCAAAGCGTGCATTCGTGAAATGCAGTTAATGGTGAAGTATAAAAACCTTAACCCTCGAGTTGCTCGGCCTTTGCTGGTCGTGGTATCATTCAGGAAGGACCTCCGTAACACGCTAGATAAAAAACTTAGGCCCTAAGGTACGTAAACAAGCATTTTGCAAGCCAGCCTTTTAAAAGCTTTGAATTTTTTCTGATTTAATCAATAATACCCCATATGAACTTATAAATGTTCTTTTATTTCATTTAGGTGTGCAAAATGATTGAAATTGTGGTTCGGTTGAAGAATAAGGAGTTTTATATCTGAGGGCCTAAGGTATGTCGACATATTTTGTATATAAATACTTGTGCAATGATAATGCACAAAAGTATACTTGTTTGATATTAGGAAGATAAAATTTGAATGATTTACTAGGTTTCATAAAACTGATAATGGAATATTGATAAATTGGCCTAATTATTTTATTGAAATAATATTCTTATCATAACAATTTTCTATATTTTTTTGTTCGATAGTTGTTTGATAATTGGTTTTGAAATTAATTTTGGCTATAAAAAAGCAAACAATTTTCAAAGCAATTTTTAAATTCTTTGCCACTAATAAATTATTTGCAGACAAAATGTCATCGACATTTTCTGTCGATATTTTTTTGTATTGAAATTTGTACGCAAAATTATGCATAAAACAGATGTTTGTTTGACAAAAGGAATATAAATTTTGTATGATTTACTAGACTTCATGAAGAGTTAGGAATTTTAATTTTTTAACGGATGGATATTGGAATATTGCCAGATATCTATCAAAATCACAATATTATTGTAACGATGAATCTTTCATAACTTGTTTGTTTATCGGTTGTTCAATAATTCGTATAGAATTTAATTTTGGCTTTAAAAAGGAAACGTATTTTAATGAAATTTCGTAATTCTGTACCGCCAAAAATCAATTGCAGACATTTATCTATTTGTAATGACTTATTCTTTTGTCATTCTTTATCTTTACCCTTTTAATGTTCATTACATCTTTCTAAACTTGATATATAAGTAGAATTACAATTACAAACATCGCAGCTAATTATTCAGAATTTAGCGGGAGATTACTTTCTTACCACAGATTGACTGCGGCTCGTAACTAACGGTTAAAGTGATCTAATTTATCAACAAATGTTTCGAACACGATTTTATCACTATGATTATGATTAATTAGGTACACGAACACAAATCGTGAACAATCCTATCGAATGTGGACATAAAATAAGGTATTTATATTTTCATATGGTCTTTGGAGTTGTTTTACCATATCATTTTATTCATATTGTAGACGTTTTGTTACAAAGATGTTGAATCCAATTAAGCTTTAATTAGATTTTCAAGATTTTAATTATGTTTTCTTATTACTGTATAAAAGTTTGAAGGCATAGAATAATATCAAAAAGGATTATCGTAAAAGTTTTGAAGAAATTTATTATCAGAATAGAAGTTGCGGTCAGAATGAACAAAAGAGATTAAAAGCAGTTTTAATACTTGTTCAAACGGGAAAAGACTAGATCTGCAAGAAAAAAGTATTTGAGAGAAAACCTATTGTATGAGACAAACGGAATTTTCAGAATAAATTCCTCGTCAAATTATTATATTCTTCAAATTTTATGATGTTAGTTTTTGCTCTTACAATGAAAGCAAATTAAAAGGCACTTCTTGAACTTTGGCTTGCTTTTTAATACTTGAAATCGATGATTGTAAAGTAAATTAAATGCTAGTATGTCAAACAGAGCATCCAAAACTGAGCAAAATTAATCATCCAAAATGACGGAAAAAGGCTTTAGTTTGCAAATGACATTTTTGTGTGTCACTTTTTAACGATGAAAATAAAATCAATAGTCAATTTTGATAAAAAGTACATCAGAAAAATGATGTAGGTTTTTTTTTTAAAATTTTGGTTTATTCTATGTTTTGTCAAAAAACTGTTCCTGTTATATCAAAGGTTTCTTATGTCTGATATTTTGCAGAAATTTGATATGATAAAGCATAGAAAAACACGGACAAGATTCTTTTTGGCCTGAAACTTTCTAAAAATTTGAAATAATCATTTTCAATGTTAACAGCTTCCATGTAGGTTGATTTTGGTTTTCCTGTATTTCCAATAAGAACGAAACCACTTTTTGAAAATTTGTGTCAAACAAACAAATATTACTTTCAATAAAAATTTCACAAATAAGATACCAACATTATTTTTAATTCCTTAATGAAAAAGCAAATTTAGTAGAAAATATAAAAAGGCAATTTTTTAACAACCTTTGATGCACTGGATTTGCTTTATATGTAGTGGCTTGGTTTTGGAGTTGATTTGAGGTTTGTAGCTGTCATTTTGAGGCTCTGGTCGTTTCGAGGCTCTGGTCGTTTCGAGGCTCTGGTCGTTTCGAGGCTCTGGTCGTTTCGAGGCTGTGGTTTATTTTGAAGTTTTTGGTTGTTGTTAAGATTTATAGCGGCAATAAAGTATTTCCAGTGATCAAAGGAAATAAAAAAGATTTTTTCAAAACCTTTATCTTTCATAGAATAATTTGTACGAAACAAAAGACTCAATGAATTTCGAAAGTAATTAATTTTACTGGTTCTTAAAAAAAGCTAAAAAAATCTAAAATTTTTCACACGCTGTTTTGTTTAGATAGCATTTCAAATTATCACAAAATCATGCTATTCAACTTGTAAATATTTTATTTTTTGACTGAACATACAAAGCAGTTAGTATCTTTAGCTCAATAGCACTATCTGATACCAAAAGTTCTTTGGAAATTTTTGAAGCTTTTTGTCTTTGATTTTAAAGTATCTTGTTTCTTTGGCATATAAAATTTTCAAACAATTTCTAAACAGAAGAACAGAGTTTTCCAAATGCATGAAAATTCAAAGTTTCTGTATAATAGTATATGAACTACCTTTGAAAAGATACAAACATGTAACCGATTTGCTTTATTTATTTAATTAATATAAGAATAATCGCGTAATATTTCTTGACACACCAAACAACCATTTGGTATTCATCTGCAAAACAAATAATGTTACAAAAATAAATCAAAATGTTAAGTTACGTTATACAAGTATAAGGCTATTGCAATCAGAAAGTGATCTTAAATTGCTTGAAGATCTGCAGCAACAAATTCAATTATATCAAATAATCATTTACGAAAAAAATCTTATTCAATCGACTTTCTTATCTATAAAGATTATCTTATTTAATCGAGACACATAAGTGTTGACATCTTATCTGTGGTTTACTCGCTCTTTATACTTTTAATTTTTTTCTTTTCTTTTTCAGGTCTGGTTTCATTTTTGCCATTTTACGGGGTGTTTTTTGAAGATAGGATAGATACGCTTTTGCTAACTCTTTTTGTTTCAGCTTTGCTTACCTGATCGTCTGGAATTTCCAGTATTTGTTTTAAGTGAGTATAAATTTTTTCATTTATCAAAATATGTACATCTTATGTCTCGTGTGAAAATTCACATGAAATATTCATTAATTTTGAAAAAAACTACCTCGTCGTAACCAACAATTTCGCTTGCATCTTTTATTATTTGATATTCATCATATTTTGACTGAATAATCTTTATCTTATTCTAATCAACTTTTCTTTCAGTGTTCATTTTACAGTTGAAAATTAGATAAAAAAGGATAAATTTGGACAAAACGAGGGAGAAAATATCGGGTAAGTGACACCACTCATCAAAGTCATTAATATTTTAAACCAACCTGCTGATGTGTTTTTTCAATCTGTTCTTCATAGCCTGTTGAATCAGAAACTAATGCCTTTTTTAAAAAATGCTTAAAGTCTGTTTTTTGTGATATTATAGCAATGATAAAGTGAAAATCATAATGATTATAAAAGTTGAAATGATTGAATTACTTACGAAACATATTTTTTAAAAATAATGCCCCTTTGAATTTGTCTTTCTTATGACTTTTTTTTTCTTTTTCAGGTATTGATTTTTGGAAGTTTCGTTTTTTGGAACCATTTTTCTT